TTACTGGAGCAGTAATATATGTTATTTGCTTCAGTGTGTTCCAATGCTGGTTCATGTAGCAAGTAAATGCGTACATATAGACCTTCATGATGTGACTGAAGTAGCTCCATGACCTTTGTCAAGTAACTGTTGTCTACTTCCTAACTAACAAGTACAACTCTTCGACTTGACCTTTGTGTTTTGTTTTAGACAGACAGTGAAAGGGGGTAAAAACCAGGAAGTCCCATCTTCCCTATGTGCCAGCTGCATGAAACAAACAGTCCTGACTTGCTTGGTATTTTAAGATGTCATTCACTTGGCTATCTCATAGTCGGCATTCCCTGGCCATGGACAGAACTTAGAATTTTGACAACTGATTGAGTGATACGTCAATCATTTGGGAGCTATGGGAAAATTTGTACAGCAGAATGATCTAAAACAAAAGATTGCTGGTACATAAAACAAAACAAAAAAAATCCTTAGATTTCTACATCTCTACATTCATGTGTACAGTGTTCATTCTATCCTTTATAACCAATAGGCCCATGGCCCACCTGTCCTCAGTTATGTGGGTCATTTAGGCCCGTGTGGATCATGTCAAATTGCTGGGATTTTTTATCCATATAAAGGTACTTAGTATAAGTTCACTAACTTTTTATATCTTCCAATATAATTTGAACAAAATACAAGAAAGCAAGATCTGTTCAACACATTTTATGATTCATAAAACAATTACCTTCAATTCAAACTGAATTTGTAAAAATTTAAGCAATAAATAACAAAAGTCATCAGAAAGATAACATATCCCCCGGCAGCTGTCTGTAAAGTAACCACAAGTAAATGTGCAATTCATATGTAATTAGTCAAGAGTTGAATGTTCTTGAAGAAGCATACATTGTTTACCCACAAAAGATCCACCATGGTCGCATCCATATGAAATGGAAAGTAAAACAAGTGTGTTTCTGTGGGTTTTTTTTATGCCAACAAATGACAAATAACAAGAAACAATAACTAAACAAGCATATAGTCAACGAAGTCATCTATATCCCCCGCCCATTTTAACACCTTATAGTCCCAAACCAGGTAACTGACCCAACATTTCTCTTAGCCCATGTCAAAATAGCTGCAATGGAAATTCGAAAATAAACATTTCTAAAACTCCTTAATATCAAATGTCACCAGTTCAGTATGTGCTTTATATATAGACATGCAATGTTTGGCAAGGAAATATTTAACAGTTTATTTGTTATACTCCAGAAGTGAACCCACCCGATATTAAAACATAAATCCAACTTGTTGCCATGGAACCGTAAAAAATAAAAATTTATAAAATTCCTAAATAGCAAAAGTTCAGTATGTGCCTGGTAGACATGCAAAGTTTTGTAAGAAAGTATTTAATGGTTTTTGAGTTACGTTCCGGAAACGAACACCACCCTTATAGAACCTAAGTGCAGCTTGTTACCATGGAAACGTAAAAAATGAAAATTTCTAAAATTCCTAAATAGCAAAAGGCACCAGTTCAGTATGTGCCTGGTAGACATGCAAAGTCTTGGAAGAAAGTATTTAACTGTTTTTGAGTTACGCTCCGGAAATGAACACCAGCAAAAGGCACAACTTCAGTATGTGACTGATAGATTTGCCAAGTTTCAATTATATACACGGAATTGTTTACGGACGGACAGACAGACAGACTGGCTGATCCCTATATCCCCCCGCATTATATGCTGGGGGGGGGTAATAAACTATTAATAATACCAGATCTCCATGTTCATTAACAACACAACTGTGAGTGAACAGTTTTTTCACTCAAGCTGATACTACACATCTGTGCCATTCCCTGTAAACACCATACATCGCATATGATTTGCTGCTTGGTAGAATAATAGCCATGCATAAAGTTGAAACAATGTATTCTGACTGTTTGTTGTTTAACGCCATAAATAATAGAGTCTGGACCAGACAATCCTGTGATTGACATCATGAGCATTGATCTACACAATTTGGATACAATGACATGCATCAACCAAGTAAGCGAGCCTGACCACCTGATCCCATTAGTCGCCTCCTATGACAAGCATAGATGCTTATTACAGCAAGCATGGTTTGCTGAAGACCTATTCTAACTTGATCTACACAGCTACTTGAAAAACATGTGGATGTGATAAATCGGGCCATAGTATAAGGGGAAATGCAAGTACAATGTATCACATCCCCATGCCTTTTTGAAAAACGTGGACATTAGGGATGCACAGTATTACCAGCATACAGGTTTACTGCAATACGAAATTGAAACAATCGTGATACATTTGTGATGTACCGGTATATTGACAATGATTTTGTTTTTTAAATTTAACTTGCATAAAACTGATCTTTTTACTGTGATGAAACGGCACAAACAGCTTCTTAATAATCCATTACAAGCTTAAGTTGTTACCTCCCTTGATTTGTTTAGAAATGGTGGACAGGAAACATACTGATTTCAAAGTTGTCACAAACACGCTAATGTCGATGTTTGGCAACATTTCAGCTTAAAATGTTTAAATCTAATGGAAAGATTGAAGAAAACATTGCTATCTGTCAGGGATGTAATGTCAATGTAAAATATGTGGGAGGAACGAGCAATTTGTCAACGCACATGTGTAGGCACCATCCAGCAATGCTTTCCACTGTCACTTGGCACTAGTTACATGTATATGTGTGGGTAATGTGTCAAACTGACATTTTCAAGATGGTTACCATCATGTAGGTGAGTAAACAGGTGTAACAAGGTGTGCAAGTATTACACATTGTCACATAATGCTGAACATAGAAACAGGAAGGGATTTACTCCACAGCTTCATGTTCTTCCTGTCCTGTGTGTATTTACCTTACAGTGCACACTGACAAAATATCTCTTGTTGCTTCATACTGATCATGTTGATAAGTTGCATATTCCTGTCATAAGCCCAGTAAAACAGACTGTAAAAGAAAATAGATTAAATTCTGGTATTTGTCATTTTAACATGATTAAGATACACACTCCATTAGCGGTGTGCAATATAACTAGTACAGAGCAATACGGCCGTCAGCAATACACAAATTGCAATACAACCCTTGCATATTGATATATTATATCTACAATTTTGAGGCATTTGAATGGACTATCTAAACCATGTAAACAACACATGCTTCACTGTGTTCACATGACCATTCCATACTGATGACATAATAGGTGTTTATCCATACTACCCATCTCGCAATCTGAAGTCTGAATAATTGAATGAAGAAGTGCCATTTGAATGGCACAAATATATATAACTTGGGCCCCCAAAAATATCGCAAAATACAGTTCTCTGTATTGCGGAATACTGCAAATTGCAATATGATTTATGTGCCAATACACCAAACCTACACTTCATCCAAAAACTAGTAATCAACATAAGACACCGGGTTTCTCATGCACAACAACAGGGTCAAAATATAGTTTCCACTTTGGTAAAACTTACAAATGTTACCAAGATGGTTACAAGATATCTAAATTATACCTCAATGGACTGTCACAGAGTTTGTAACTTTGTTACTGTTAGGAAAATATTTTGAAAATTTGACGGGTCTACAAAAGCTTTAATGTATCATTGACAAAACCTTGGATCAATTACCATGATTAATGAATTAGTACATTAGGTTTCTGCAAAACAGCCAAGATGGTATGTCTTGCAGCTAGGTTGATCATATACTTTCTTTCCTATCAAACATTTGAATCCATCTAATAATCTGTCACAGAAACTCTCTGTATCTAATAATCTGGATTACAGGAATATACATTTGATAGTTATTCCAAAACCAGGATGCGACTTAAAATTGAAATGTTTACTAGCCTCCCACTAGTCCTAACCTTAAAGATAACTTTAGCATTAGAAAAACTATCTTAAGTTAGCACAATGAAGCAGGCTAGTGTCGCCAATTTGCAACTCTAGAAGATTATTTACAGCATCCTATCATGTTCCATTTTCAGGGCGCAAGATGAGATAAAGCTGATATTTAACTAGAAAAGACAAATATTCTACTTATCACTACCATAATTTTGTTACCCATCCGAGTATGAAAAGAGTGGTGTTCTTGTGGCAAACAAAGAGTTTTGTTATTGCACTCCAGTGAAATATCCATTTTATGCTGTCAAACAAACACATTACATAACAAAATATAGGTACTCAAAGTAACACATGCATTATACCGGACACCTATCCGCCATATTTGTTTGATGCTACTATTAAAGCTATCACTACTTGACAAAATAGACATTACTTACGAAAGGATTTTATTCAAGTTGTTGAGTGGGGGACAAGCCCCCCAAAGCCCCTGTTATTTTAGCGAGGCAACAAAAATGGTTTCTGAAAAACGTAGAAACTGTTATTAAGGAATGAGTTTGAGCACATCCCTTACCAAAATGGCAGAAGGTGTCTGGTATATTGCATTCTTACCCAAAATATATAATAATTCATTATATTTAGCCTACAACATATGATCAACATGATATCTGTTGAATATCACAGGAAATGATTTAGTCAAAAGATCGTATGTGCCACATTTTTTAAAAGAAAAAATATCTCATCTGCTTCATTGAAATGCAGGGGGGGAAACAAAAGTCTTTTACATCATTATTAACCATAACATCGGACAAATTCCTCCTGTTCAACCTAGCTATAGACAACATGATGCTCTTACGTTAGCTGTCATTTGTCAAATCAGCTACCAGTGTTCTCTGTTCAGCTATGCTGACTTTACCAATCACTACATTTACATACATCAGCACCATTGATAACGTTTAAATAACTATGCTTAACAGAATGAGCTATGTGTCCCTTAAATACATTTTGTAAGAGACTATTATATCAAGTGCATTTCAGATTGGAAATCCAGACTAGCCAAGGTTTAGCATATGCATAAGGCCAAAAGGGTCACACCCCTTTCCAACATACCTACCAATATTTACCTATGCATGGTGGCTTTGATAGTGGTTTATGCTTTTCTTTGGCACTCACCTTTGCTTTTAGTATTTACAAGTCACATTTCTTTAACACGGCTTGTAAATAATGCTCGATAATCGCATCATATTCGATATAGGAAGTGTCAAAATGGCGACATCTCGTGTATTCTCACATTCGTAACGAGATTTAGGTGCGGGCACTTGCGCAAAATAAAATGATTACCACAAACACAACATAATGAAATTTGACAAATCAGATGAATTAGCCAAATCAATTTTAGTTACCATGATAATAAAAACTTACTTGTAGATAAGAAAATATTGATTAGAAGCTCCGCAGTAATAGGTCGTCTAAACTGCGTTATGACAACATGGCGGCAATATTAGGCTTGCAGGAGTATGGAAGTGATACAAATTCGTCTGATGGCGAAACTAAAATGGACCTAGAAGATTTTAACATGCATTTGAAACCCGTAAATGATAAAGAAAAGTCTTATATGGCCGTGTGCCCAAATGCTGCTCCAGCTGTTGCGCCTAAGGTAATAAACGTAACATCCCATGGTAACAAAACCCATATTTCATTTTTGACTTATCAACTATTTTAATGACAAAAGAGTGCAGTTGTCGGTCGTTTTGCAAACGTATTTCCATTTTAGTGTTGCACAAGGGCAAGTCTTTAATTTGAAACAATGCAGTTTTCCAGGCGCAGCTTACAATAGTGCTAATTTGGCTCAGACTGCCGACTGTGGCTCTCGCTTCACAGATCTCGCGCGCCTCTTCGATCCTTTGGGTTAGTTGTGTTGGGTTATAGGGTTGGTGACCCACAACTTTATCCCGAGCCTTTTGGATCCCCTTTACGATCATTTGGGTTAGGTACTCCTTTCCGATCAAACGTCCTTTGTAGATCCTTAGGATGGGGCACCACTTACCGATCACCCCTTCACGATTCTTAGAGGTTAGGCACCCCTTCACGATCCATCCTTAGGTTAGTTTTGAGTTAGGGTATGGTATTATTTAATCCAAAGTTTCTTTGATAACTATTGTTATCAGTTTTCAAGTTTCGTGGAGAAAATGGCTACTTGACATGTGTATAAAGGTAAACAATCTGGTGCGGATGACTTGGTAAATGAGCACTAATTATTTGTGACCGCAACCGTGGTCTCATGGTAGGGTGTTGGCAAATTAGCTAAGCTTCAAGCGGGCAACATAAAGTTGATCCTTCACCAATTGAATCACAGTTTCATGTGATGTGAAGTGTTATTTTATACTGTTGTCCGTGAGACTCTATTATTGTAAGAGCAACAGTAATTAGTATCTTTACCATGTTTACTGAGGTAATCAAGGTAATTTGTCATTTTGTTTGTCAGGGAAGATCTTTTTTTCGTTATCTGGTCGTTTGTGTCATTGCCTGTAGAAGTCGCCATCTTTGTGAAGTCGTTAAAAAAAGAACAGCGATCTGATTGGATATTGCATTTACATCGCAAGGGGCACATCTTGTGCTCTACAAAGGACGGCTCTGCAATCAAGCCAAGAAAAGTTGGTTTGAAAGGGGTAGGGTGAAAGCTAGACTTTTATATATAGGCTATTGGACATTCTTGCCTTGAAGAGATGGTCCAAGTTGATACCTTACTGTGTGTGATTAATAAGTCAGGTTTGAACTCAGAGTTGAAGAGAATAATGAATTGTCTTCAAGATGAGGTGTAGATTAAAGAAATATATTTGGTTTGATTTTGAGACCAGCTTTAGAATTAAGCACCACAACTTCTTGGATCATTCATAGTAAGAAAAGAGGAAGGCATAGGCATGGCCTCAAGAGTGTGCATGGATAAATGTTATACATTCCTTAGACCAATCTCACTGACACCCCATTTCACACAATCTTGCTGAAGTCATGGTTATCATGACTCTCATATTTGATGCTTTTGTATTGCATTGGTCTATTACTTAAGCATGCCACTGACTTCCCTTCTCTCTCTGTTACAAGTATGATGGAAACAGCAGGCTACTGGACATCAATGTTAAAGAAGTCAAGCACAACCTCAAATATGAAGACATGTATGCACCCCAGGTAATTTCTTTGAAATAATATAATATTGTTGTAACATTTCTAAACTCATGCATTTTCATGTGTGTCAAACACCCCATCAATGATACTGAATATGACAAATTGTTGACAGGCTTAATAACAATATGCTATTGGTTCTGATTGTGTAATATCTGATTGATATGTACCCACAGTTCAAATGCTATGTTTACCATGATCTACTGAAATCAGTTTGAAGACTCTCTGATGTTTTAGGTTGGCCCACTTCACCCATTTAAGACGCGGCAGTTTCAATCCAATCGGAACATGTTGTCAGGTTATACAGAACCTGCTCATGTCAGTGACTTTCAGTTTGAAAATCAGCGCAGAACATTCACAAGTTACGGTATGCATTGTACACACATGTCATTCCCAAGTGTTGAGAGTGAGACATACATGACAGCTGCAACATGCAAGTGGACTATTTGTATATGCAAGTGAATTATCCTGATTACAGGAACATACGAAAATAACATTATCATTTGCTTCAGAATACTGGTACTGTAAAAGTGATATATTTCACTGCAGTCCTGAATTACTCTTTGATTTGTAACAGTTGAAAATGTGACATTATTGAAATATACGTCATATTTGACATGGACTAGCCTCTAAACACATGGTCCTGATGGTACATGTTATTGTATATGTTAGGTGGACAGTACAACAAAATGTTTGGTTGAGAATGTAGACACAACCCATTCTCACCCAAACCCAATGGGGAAGTGTTTTATCTTACTTAAAAACCTAAAGAAAAATCTGAAACAACATATCAACAATTTAACATTTCCAATAACTTTCCATGAAGCCTAGGAAGCAGAAGTATTGTATACCATGCTGGCATTCATGTACTTGAAAAACAGACTCTTAAAAGTGTTGTGATTTCACAGCACCTCTGTAGCCTTGTGGTTTACACACTTGGTTACCAGTACAAATGTTGCAAGTTTGATCCCACTGAAATATAAGTAACATACTGTGACTTGATTTTACATCTTTCTCCACATTTCCTCAAGAAAGCATTGTAATTTGTGTTATGTAGATAAGATCATAGACCTGGAGACTTTCTTTAGAATATCCCTGGGACAGAGGCATATTCTGTAGGAAGTCCCTGCAAAGAGGTTATTCTATAAAACACTAGGATGATGTCACTTGATGTTTATAATGTATATATATAAGTCCCATATATATTTGCTATACTTGTCATCATGAATGTGAATGATATTATATAGCTTTGTTGTTTCTTTTATACCAGGTTATGCCCTTGATCCCAGTAATGACCAGACTGAAGTTGACAAGGTCGTTGGGGACAACACAGCTGCAGAGGATAACAAGGGTATGTACAGACATCAAACATGTTCCTGTGGTACAGGTGGATTCCGGTATAGAACTGTCCCCCTGTGTATGGGATTAAGTAGGTGGTCAGACTCAGTGACTTGGTTAATGTGGGAGACTTGGTCATCTCACTGTGTGGAATGTTCCTCATCATATCCACCACAGATTTGTCCATGTTGTCTGGCCACCATGATACAGCTGGAATACTGCTGACTGCAGCTTAACAACTTTTAATCACTCTTATTAATTGTTGATAATCAACTCATGATAAGCCAACTCCACTAAACTATAAACACTGGATAGCCTGATACCTTCATTATGTCCAGACGGGCACGGGTGGCCCAGTCGTCTAAGGCACTGCAATTCGCTGTATAGAGTTGTGCACGCCAGAAACCTATGTTTGTGGGTTTGAATCCCGGTTCGCCACGATTATGGTTCTAGGTTTGTCAGCACCATACCCGTGCTTGTTGGTTTCACCAAAGTGTTAAACATCTCAGACCTACACCACTTCGGGCTTTCCTCCCACATCAAGCTGACATACCGTGATGTAACTGAAATACTGTTAGAAGCGGTGTTAAACCCAACTCACTCACTGAATCACTCATTATGTCCAGGTTGAATCCTCCAATATGTATTATTCATCCCCTGATAACTAGGATCAGTTAGTAGAAATTGTACATAACTATATACAGTCAAGTCCCGTTAATCCGACATCGATGGTTGCATATGATTATGTCGGATTGACGAGTATGTCGGATAAACGAAATTTAGTAGTATCAACGTTCGTGATCGAATTTGGCCAACTATACGATAGATAAACAAGTAATAAAAAATATAAAAGAAATATTCTTATTGTTATCTTACATTGTTGGCGGAATATGTTTTCTAAAGTTTAACACAAAACAACTGTTACGGACTGTGGCTAACGTCGACTTCCTGTTGGTCATTTCATTGGTAGGTCATAGTTCGCGAAAGGTTGTTCTGACGTGACCTGTAATGGGATGTCCTCGTCGATAGCGAGAACTTGTATCTGATTTTAATAAGTTTGAGGTAATCTAAGCATGTGATTTTTCCTGTTTTCTTTATTCAAAGCATTAATTGTTTATTGTTAAGCAAGTTTATCTCTGCAGCCGTTGTAATATGCCGCTACCAGCAGATTCGTCTCTGATCAAAACACAGGCTGTGTATTCGCGGGCAGATGACAACGGAGTACGCTGATCACTGTGTCGGATTAACGAGACTGATTGATGAGTGATTTCGGTAATTCGTTGCAAATTAGGTGTGTCGGAGTGCGAGACTGTCGTATTTACTGGTCTAAATAGCACTTATTTAATCGGTTCCCATCATTAGTGTTAGATAAAGCTGATTGTCGGATTAACGAATGTCGGATAAACAAGACTTGACTGTACATGAACTAGATCACTTGACTCTCTTGACCAAGACAATTTCATTCAAGTAGACAGATAGCCACAAATTAGATCAATATTATCTGCCTATCAACATATTCACATCATAATTCTTAGCTGATACTTTGATTGCCTTGTTTTGTTGTACATAATTGATATTCATCTGTCAATGAATAAATGTTTTTTTACACTTATGAACCTTTTGCAAGATATATATCATGTATATGACATTAGGGCATTATCATGGTTTTATCATCTTTTGATAACACATTCTCTGTTGTCATTATCAACTTTTGTTGAGGACAGTTAGGCTAGCAGTCAGTGATTGTTCATGTCTGTATATAGGCAATTTATTTTATGACACATTATTATTTTGTGAAAGGGAGTCTTGTGAGATGGATACATTGGAAAAGTAGATTTCTGAAGAATAATATCAACATCTGTTGGTCTTGTTGATGGATTTATGACAACTTCATCTTCCAAGCTTAATCATTTAGTAGTACTCGAATATGAAATGTTGAGACTGGTCACATTTAATACTATAATAGCCAGCTAAATTGATCAGAAGCCTCGCACTCAGATCCGAAATCATTTCTGGTCTGTAGACCTCGCAAGATCGATCAATTACTTACAAATTTTCAATATTTTTGCTTTGCTTTTAAATGCATTAAGGAGTAATGTAGGATAATTATACAAATAAAAAAAGAAATTAGATTTTACTAATTTTATTATGTTGGTTGTCACATAATCTTGTATCCTTTATAAGAAAACTATTCTATATGATATTTCATGGATGTTGTCAAATTAGTAAGTTGTTCATTATCCTTATCCACAATACCTGCAGGCATTACAGTATTTGAAGTAAAACCAAGTGCTGGTGAAAAACGAAAAAAAGAAAAGAATAGAGACCCAGCAGATATTGATGGCTACCTAGGACCCTGGGCAAAGTATGCAGATGAACAGACTGTTATCAAACCAAGTGAGGTAGGTCTCCGCTACACTACTGATATCATATCTCTGTATATGGCTGTGTATGTAAGTATATCACTGTATATCTCCATACAACACTGTTCTTCTCTGTTAGTCTTTGTATCACAATGTTATTATCCCCCGCCCAACAAAGTTGGCAGGGTATATAGAAACAGGCTCTGTCCGTACGTACGTACGTACGTACATACGTCCGTCACGTTTCATTTCCGGAGCATAACTCAGAAACCGTTGCTATTTAGAAATTTTAGAAATTTTTATTTTTTACATTTCCATGGCAACAAGATGGATTTAGGTTCTGTGAGGGTAGGGTTTGTTTCCGGAGCATAACTCATAAACCGTTCTATATTTTTTCATGAAACTTTGCAGGATTGTCAGGTACATGCTGAACTGGTGCCTTTTGCTATTTAGAAATTTTAGAAATTTTTATTTTTTACGTTTCCATGGCAACAAGATGGACTTAGGTTCCAAACTCTTCTTTTTTTTCCCCCCGACATATAATGACGGGGGGATATAGCTATCAGTATGTCCTTCTGTCCGTCTGTGGGTCTGTAATCATTGTTTGTCCGGAGCATATTTCCTAAACCGTAAAACCTAGCTTCACAAAACTTGGTACACTTACCAATCAGGCTCAGTAGTTGGCCTTTTGCTATTTAGAGATTTTTCGAATTTTGTATTTTTGTCGTTTCCATGGAAATATGATGAACTTAAGAAATTTGAGGGGAGTGCTCTTGTCCGGAGCATATTTCCGGAACCGTACAACCTAGCTTCACAAAACTTGGTACACTTAACAATCAGGCTCAGTAGAAGTGCCTTTTGCTATTTAGAGGCTATTTAGAGATTTTTAAAATTTTATATTTTTGTCGTTTCCATGGAAATATGATGAACTTAGGAAATTTGAGGGTAGTGCTCTTGTCCAGAGCATATTTCCTAAACCGTACAACCTAGCTTCACAAAACTTGGTACACTTACCTATCAGGCTCTGTAAAAGTGCCTTTTGCTATTTAGAGATTTTTCGAATTTTTTATTTTTGTCGTTTCCATGAAAATATGATGAACTTAGGAAATTTGAGGGTAGTGCTCTACACCAGAATGATGAAATGGAAACTATACATACATTGGCATGCAAGCGCTTTCTAGGTGTCAAATCGTCAACACCCAACAACATGGTTCGAGGTGAATGTGGGCAGTATCCATTATATCTTTATGCATACAAAAGTGTTATCGGTTATTGGATAAGGTTATTGAGTATGTCCGATTGTCGCTTTCCAAAGAAATGTTATTATATGATGCTTCAGGCAGAAACTAATGGTAAAATTAATTGGGTATCAAAATGTAAATCTTTATTGTTCTGTTTTGGTTTTGGCTCTGTATGGGAAAACCAGTGTATAAGTCATCCTCATTCGTTTTTGACAGAATTTATGTCACGTCTGAAATGTAGTTATGAACAGGATTGGCATAGTCTTCTGGTAAAGGGTAGTAAATCTTTCTCGTATTCTCTATTCAAGGTATCGTTTGGTACAGAGTTGTATCTTAGCTGTGTGACCATCAGTAAATTGAGAGTGGCGCTAGCTCGGTTTAGATGTTTTTCGCATCAGCTGTGTGTTGAAAATGGGAGATATGCTGATATCCCACGTAACAGAAGACTATGTTGTGTTTGTAATGCAGGTTATGTGGAGGACGAGTATCATTTTTTGTTAGTTTGCTCTGGTTATAACAAGCTACACATGGATCACTTACCACAAGCATTTTATGAATATCCGACCATACAAAAATTAAATATCATTATGTCCACAACTGATTGTAAATTAATTGAACGTCTAGCTATCTATATCTATCAAGCGATGTCACTTCGTAGTACATTATTGTCACAACAATAACAGCTGTGTACATCACGTCCATTGTAATACAAATGTAACTATGGGCCGATGGCCTACACTTACGAAATAAACCAAATTGAATTGAATAGTAGTGCCTTTCGCTATTTAGAGATTTTTATTTTTTTTTATTTTTGTCGTTTCCATGGAAATATGATGAACTTAGGAAATTTGAGGGTAGTGCTCTTGTCCAGAGCATATTTCCTAAACCGTACAACCTAGCTTCATAAAACTTGGTACACTTAACAATCAGGCTCAGTAGAAGTGCCTTTTGCTATTTAGAGATTTTTCGAATTTTTTATTTTTGTCGTTTCAATGAAAATATGATGAACTTAGGAAATTTGAGGGTAGTGCTCTTGTCCGGACCATATCTATCGAACCATACAACTTAGCTTCTCAAAAGTTTTTATGCCTATCAAGCAGGTTATGTAGTTGTGCCGTTGCTATTAACAGATTTTTCTTTTTTTTTCTTTTTTCAATTTGAATGAAAAATTGATGAACTTAGGGTAATGTCCTCGTCTGGAGCATATCTTCTAAACCATGCGACAGAGATTCACCAAACGTTATGCACATATCAATCATGTTCGCTAGTAGTGCAGTTTGTTATTTATAGATTTTAATCTTTTTAATTTGTAGCCTGACATATAATTCTAAGGTGTACTATTTACCAATTGAATATACTATATATGATGTGAGCCACATAACCTAGTACATTCTCTTTATGCCTTTGTGTCATGAGGCTACTACAGAGCGAAGTTATTGTTATTACAATTTCATGAGATCATCAGAAAGTGAGCTACATGAAACAATATTTAATAACCTTCATTATTATCCCCCCGGGGTGGGGGGATATAGCGATCAGCCAGTCTGTCTGTCCATCCGTCTGTCCATCTGTCCGTCCGAAAACTTTGTCCGCAGCCAAAAGAAAAAAATTGTTTTTATTAATTTTCCATTTTTTAATGAATTTTTCAAACCCTAACGTCCGTCTGAAAACTTTGTCCGCGCGATTTCTCTTAAACTATTCAGTGGATTCATCTCAAACTTAGTACATATAATCTGTGTCATATGAAGGGGTGCAGTCATTAGAAAAAAATTGTTTTTATAAATTTTCCATTTTTTTATGAATTTTTCAAACCCTAACGTCCGTCCGAAAAAACTTTGGCCGCACGATTTCTCTTAAACTATTCAGTGGATTCATCTCAAACTTAGTACATATAATCTGTGTCATATGGAGGGGTGCAGTCAAAAGAAAAAAATTGTTTTTATTAATTTTCCATTTTTTATGAATTTTTAAAACCCTAAGCTAACCCTATCCTAGCTATTTAATTTGTAACTACTGACACACTAGGCGTGTCGGGGGTATTAGTGAGCCACACTCACTTTTGCACTTGTTTTTTTAAATTTTTATGGAATGAAGTTGGACATAGACTCAATTGGGGATGGGGTTCGTTTCCGGGGCAGAATTCGAAAACCATTCAGTGTATTTGATCGAAACTTGGCAAATCTATCAGGCACATACTGAAGTGGTGCCTTTTGATATTTTGGGATTTTTCTAATTTAATTTTTTTTAAATTTTTATGGAATGAAGTTGGACATAGACTCAATTGGGGATGGGGTTCGTTTCTGGGGCAGAATTCGAAAACCATTCAGTAGGTTAAACAATGTATGCTTCTAAAAGAACATTCAACTGTTGACTCATTACAGAATTGCACATTTATTAGTGGTTACTTTACAGACAGCTGCCGGGGGGATATGTCATCTTTCTGATGACTCTTGTTTAAATTGTTTGGGTTCCCAGACCAAGTTCCCTTTTGGAGGGTGGATTCACTTGTCTGTAGAGACTTGGGTCTTCAACATCAAAGGTGCGGCCGTTTTGACGGTGTCCCAACCCTTTATCCCACTCACCACTGCTTTGTGTATTTGTGTTGTCGGGTACTGGCTTGAAAATCCTCTTCTGGATATTGTCAATCGTTCCTCTTCTCGTCTTAGCATGCTTCAGTCCCTCGGGCATGATTGATAGCTTTGATGAAGCTATAAAAGAGTATACACTCTATTGGCCAACGGAGATAGTGTTGCATCTTGTCTTGTAGAATCAACTGACTGGAGACCCGTTCCGGACCAATTATAAGTTGTATATCACTCGTTCTTTACAGATAGACGGTTGTTCATGTAACAATGTCATACGTGAAAACACATTCTGCATGATATACCAGATTTCATGCAGTTACGTCTGACTAACATATCGGGATCGTATCACCAGCTTTGGTGTGTTTTCCCGCTCATGAGTTGTTGTAGCACCAGCTTCCTCATGTACGTCTATTAGAGTGTCTGTGCCCCACCATCACACCGTGGGATAAATGCATAGATAGGATAAGTTAAATAATGTGGAAATTTTATTGTAAATTGTTTCTTTATATACTTATCCTAGTTATATGTCCTCCCAACCATCCCCGCCAGCATCACAACTACTCTAGCCTGTTTGCTCTGACAAAAGAGAAAGATTTGGCAGGGTTAATCACGTGATTAGGTTGTGTAGGTTGCTATGCAGGGGACAATCTCATTAAAATCAGATCTTAGTTCTCGCTGCCGCTAAACAAAGATCTGAGGACATCCCATTACGGGTCACAATTTTAATGAGATTGTGCACGGGAGTACATTGCATGACCTATTTGTTAGGGTAGTGACCATGGTGATGCTGGGATGTGTTTTGGTAAATTGTTTTGTAGAAGCTGTTCAAGCACATTTCCAGGAGCACGGATGGCCCAGTTGTCTAAGGCTCCGCATTTTGCTATGCAGAGTTGTGTCCCCTTGGCACGCCAGAAACCTATGATTTTGGGTTCGAATCCCGGTTCGCCCCGATTATGTTTCTAGGTTTCTCAGCACCAAATCCGTGCTTGTTGGTTTCACCGAAGTGGTAAAGGTCTGAGACCTGCATCACTTCGGGCTTTCCTCCCTCATTAAGCTGACACGCTGCAATATAACTGGATTACTGTTAAAAACAGCGTTAAGCCCAACTCACTCACTCATACACATTTCCAATTTTCTATAAGTGTGACATCACGGGCACGATTTGTTGCTGAATTTCACAATACCCTTTCTTTGCCATTGGTCATCTAATTTTGTGTCTAAAAATAATAACTCCACAGTGTACCTGCTGTAAATAGTCTTGGCCACACAACACGTTTCAAGTTCTCTGTTGTTCCTAAAGGTTGTATTACACTCTATAGGTCAATTTCCATTGTGTTTACGGCCAAATATTTAGCCACAATACTTTGAATATTGCAGGAACTGCAGCCCTGAATTTTGTAACATTAATGTCATTACTTGAAAGTGCCTGACACCATGACTACCAGAACCACTTTCCTATTGTTTATAAATGTTAGCTTCCTCCAGGACACTGTCTGCAGATTAGCTGTTTCAATCAGAGGTTGTAATTCAGGTTTGAAACCTCTGATAAACCAACGAGAATGAAGTATTTTCTAAATTCCTACTAGACTGTATTCCAATATGTGACACTACATCATCACTGTCTGTCACTCCAGGAGGAGCAGAAGGAGCTGGATGAGATCCTCGCCAAGAGAAGCAAGCACAGCAAGCAGGTGGAGGAGAAGCCCATGGAGGAGAAGACCACTCTACACAGTGCGTTCAAGCTTCTCCCATCACCAGACTTTAATTGCCTTTACTATCAAACAGAGTTTTGTCCTTTGTCAATTTGTTAATGTATCTGTCAATGTTGACTAAGATGTCACAGTTGACAGAAATTGTACTCAAAGATGACAGGACTAGCAGCAAAACACTGACCAAAAACAAAACTGGATCAGTAGTCAGGTTTGTGTAATGATTTGAATAACGACCACAATGTGATGCGGTGGATTGGACTTATGTATTTATGTTATATTAGGAATTTACTAACTGATAATATCAAATGTCTGTTTCCAGTTAAAGATGCATATGACTACCAAGGCCGGTCATTCCTCCATGCACCACAAGATGTGGGGGTCAACTTGCGGTCAGAGGAGCCACCGGAAAAATGCTTCTTGCCAAAGAAGTTGATTCACACATGGTCAGGGCACAGTAAGGGTGTAGCAGCCATCAGATGGTACCCCCATACTGCTCACCTTATGTTGTCTGCTGGCATGGACACCAAAATCAAAGTAAGTATGAAGTGTGGACAACATATGAACATAAGATATGACGCTCAGATCTGTTGTATATTCCCTTTATATCATGGATGTTATTATAGCATGTCCACAGACCAGTTATGGATCCCACAGTCATGTGTCTCACCCTTGTTCTCGTGGAAAAGTTCAGAGCCCTAGTAAAAAGTATATTGAGCTTGCAAACTTATATGCTGGTCATCTAACAGTAACATAATTATTATATGAACATTCCATCTTGTAAATGATTCCCCTATTTTTCCTGCTTGCAAGCTGGTCACAAGCTTAAAATTTCTTTAGTGGTATGTGTTGTTTCTTGCCTTGAGTTATCTCCCTTAACACAGGAAACCCTGCCCTCACTGCATGTGTAATCCCTCAAACTTCATTATTTCTCCTTGTTCACTGCAAGCTAGACATGTTATAGTTCATTGTCTGTTACCAAGGCAGCATTACACAATTGGGCCAACATTGGGCCAATGCCGCTCTAAACATTGTGCCAATGCCGTTTATCAACGACGGGGCAGCATTGGCCCAACACTGGTTGCCATTTGTTAGCCATCGTTGGCCCAATGCTTGTCCAATTTTGGCAAGTTTAAAATTACTCATGTTGAGTATTCAGGGCAGATGTACTGATAAGAGCGTGGCACTGTATGGGGCTACTCTCGCCTGGCGAGGGTGTGAGTGGAACCCAGCTGAGTTGTTATCTGGCATTGGCTGGCACACGTTGGCCCACTGATGGGCCAGTGCTGCGAGAGCGATGCCGGCACTGGCGATACTAGCCACGCTCAGCCAGCATTGGCCCAATTGTGTAATGCTGCCTGGGTAATTGTATTGGTGATCCATTAGACAAGGTTCTCTGTTTCATCAGTTCCTACTTTACGAAAATTATTCTGCAAGTTAGGTGGCTAGTTTTTTTATTTTGGCTTTAGGTGAGTTTCTACTCTAGACCAACTTTCATGTTCTGGTCCGACCCACATTTGTTTTATAGAAACTGTTCTTCAAAGAAGTGCTCAGTTTCCGATCGTTGTGATATTTGTGTGGACTCTACAGAGGCAGATTTCAAGGACATAAGTATTTACAGAAATAACCTAAAATAGACAAGCGGAAATGATCTATGATCTTCTGACTCATTAATCTTGATCAAATCAGCAAAGACCAAATCTTAGAAAATTATGGAAGAAAAACAGCCTAATTTGAATGGATATAATCAATTGTTACCATCTGTTTGGAGATTTCAAATCGGAAATTACATAGGATATAGTGAAAATAGATGCGAGAGTTGAGCAGGAATCAGTACACAAGCCAAATTTACTAAATGTTAGCTTGATATAATGGATTCCAAGCCAGCTACAGCTTATAAAACAAAGGGATTGGTTACTCTATGTGGGTTGCCTGCTGAAGAGCCCGGGACTCTGTTCTGATTATCTTCCAGATTGAGAAGATCGTAATTCCTGGCGTGGGTACAGAACAACTGGCAAACCGATCCGTCGGATCGCCTGGCCATGTTACAAGCACGAGAACTCTTGTCACGCACAGCTGGTTCCACAGCTTGTATATCCATGGATAAGGGTCAAGCATACGACCTATCAGCTCTGGTGGCACGGATATCATGAATGCTGGTTATAGTTGAAATTGGCATGGATCCCAATCAGGAGAGGCGAGTACAGACCCACATGTTACATTAATAAAGGATAAAATTCTGTGAGCCCAGATAAACAACAAGACCAGTCTTTATTTGCCACGCAAAACCTTATTCCCTTGGAGGCTTATTTAGAAGAGGAATACGATGTATTTCCTTTTTCCAATGTGAACTTTGATACATATGAAGGGACTGATTATACATCCCCAGAATTCCGGAAATGACGGCAATTCCAAGTGGGACTCAAAAAGTCAAAGTGGTGCACAAGTTAATTCCAGTTATCAAACCACTGGAAGAACCTATGAAGGTTTAGTCTGCAGAATTGGGAAATCCTGGTTATTTAATTCCAGCGAAAATGCCTAAGCTGTCCCTGACGCATTCTACAACTGTCCGATCAAAGGATTCTCAGCATTGTGAGAATGGGTTATTGTCTTTAATGGATGTCTCCACCTTCACTGACCATTCATGCTGTAGGCAACAGATATTTCTTACGGGAACCCAAGCTGTCTGCAACAATGGACGCAGTTATTTAGCTATTTAAAAAAGGAGCAATTTTCCAAATTGGATTCAACGGACACCTCTCCAGGTTTATATTTTCCGATATTCCTTGTTCCTAAGAAGGAATAAGCGGAAATGAGTATGATAATAGACCTAAAATTGTTGAACTGAAACTACCTCGCTTGTTCTCCACACTTCATGGAATCGGTTCAAAATTTAAGGAAGATCTCAAAACGGAAGACCCATTTCTTAAGTATTTGGTGTATTTACATATTCCCATACATCTGAAGTCACAAAGGTTCCTTTTGATTCGCTATCAAAGGACGTTGTTTTCAGTTTACATGCTGCCATACCACAAACATCAGACTTCATATATATATCAACCATTTCATATCAGCAGACGTCAATACTATAGTACTTCAAAGAAACTCAGAAATACTGCTCCACCTTTCCACTCATCTCGGGTCCTTAGTCCATCCGACAGTCAGAGCATACACAGTCTCAAGAGATCAGCTACATAGGAGCAATGTTCAACTCTGTCACGGGCATTGTAGCGCCACCACAGATCTAAACCTCTATACAGACACCTCAATGGAAGGATGGGGGGACTCACATGGACGGACTCACAGCTCAAGGGTTTTGGTCTCTGGAGGAAACATCTTTACATATCAGTCAGTTAGAAATGAGAGCAGTGATATTAGCTCTACATCATTGGTGACATCAAATCATCAGTTAGGCTGTCCCCATTACAACAGACAATTCAACAGTAGTGGTGTTTATCAACAAACAAGGAGGAACGAAAAATCCCACTCCCTGATGGAGGAAACCAGGAAATTATCTCAGACAGACATGTTGCAATGCAGAATCCAAGCTCGTCATATATACTTAAACATTCTGGCAGACAATCTTTCCAGAAAGAACAACAGCACAACAGTAGCTCAACAGAATGGACTTTGCTTCCGTTGGCCTTTCAACTTATCAGTCAGGTTGGGGAATTACCAATGCTGGACTTATTCGTGACCCGCCTCAACAAGAGACTACCCACCTTTGTCAGTCCAGTGCCGGATCCAGAACCATTGGCAGTAGATGCTTTATTTATATCATAGGACGTGATCCTGGGATATGCTTACCCGCCAACCAACCTTATCATAGGATGTGATCCTTGGATCTGCTTACCCACCAGCCAACCTTATCATAGGACGTGATCCTGGGATATGCTTACCCGCCAGCCAACCTTATCATAGGACGTGATCCTTGGATCTGATTACCCGCCAGCCAACCTTATCATAGGATGTGATCCTTGGATCTGATTACCCACCAACCAACCTCATCATAGGACGTGATCCTGGGATCTGCTTACCCGCCAGCCAACCTTATCATAGGACGTGATCCTTGGATCTGATTACCCGCCAGCCAACCTTATCATAGGATGTGATCCTGGGATCTGCTTACCCACCAGCCAACCTTATCATAGGACGTGATCCTTGGATCTGATTACCCGTCAGCCAACCTTATCATAGGACGTGATCCTGGGATATGCTTACCCGCCAGCCAACCCTATCATAGGACGTGATCCTGGGATCTGATTACCCACCAGCCAACCTTATCATAGGATGTGGTCCTGGGATCTGCTTACCCACCAGCCAACCTTATCATAGGACGTGATCCTTGGATCTGATTACCCACCAGCCAACCTTATCATAGGACGTGATCCTTGGATCTGATTACCCGCCAGCCAACCTTATCATAGGACGTGATCCTGGGATATGCTTACCTGCCAACCAACCTCATCATAGGACGTGATCTTTGGATATGCTTACCCGCCAACCAACCTCATCATAGGACGTGATCCTGGGATCTGCTTACCCACCAACCAACCTCATCATAGGACGTGATCCTGGGATCTGCTTACCCGCCAACCAACCTTATCATAGGACGTGATCCTGGGATATGCTTACCCGCCAACCAACCTTATCATAGGACGTGATCCTGGGATATGCTTACCCGCCAACCAACCTCATCATAGGACGTGATCCTGGGATCTGCTTACCCGCCAACCAACCTTATCATAGGACGTGATCCTTGGATCTGCTTACCCGCCAACCAACCTCATCATACCACGTGATCCTTGGATCTGCTTACCCGCCAACCCACCTCATCATAGGATGTGATCCTGGGATATGCTTACCCGCCAACCAACCTTATCATAGGATGTGATCCTGGGATATGCTTACCCGCCAACCAACCTTATCATAGGACGTGATCCTGGGATCTGCTTACCCACCAACCAACCTCATCATAGGACGTGATCCTTGGATCTGCTTACCCGCCAACCAACCTTATCATAGGATGTGGTCCTGGGATCTGCTAAACCCGCCAACCAACCTATGTCCAGAGGTTCTCAGGAAGTTTAAAACTGCATCGATGTTCTATATTCCTGGTAGCTCCAGCACAATTTTGGTTTCTGATTCTTTAGAGACTAATGTTAGATCAGCCACTGCAACAACCAAATTGAAAACATCTTCTGTGTCAACCAAAATGAGAAATGAGAAAAATCTCCTCCTTCACATTTGGAAATTATCAAACGACCTCTTTCTCTGGATGGATTTTCAGAAAAAGTTTCCTTCGCTATTTCTAAATACATCGAGCCTTCCACTTCTGCACTCTACAATTCTAAAAGGAACAGATTCCAACTCTAACCTCGGAATCCAGTCTCAACCTTTGACAATTCCAATCATTGCAGATTTTCTGCTGTACCTTCGTAAAGAACTAATTCTGAATCATGGTACTTTGGGGGGCTACAGATTGGCTATTGCATCAACATGTGATCTACAAATATTGGAAATTGGAGCAAGTAAAGCTTTCAATACAATTTTACAATCTTTTCAGATTGAGGTCATGTCTCATCCATCAATATTTTCAGTGGGATTTATTTCTGCTAACCCACCTTATGAGCGGATGCAAGATATCCATATTGCTTTCTTGGCACATAAAACAGCCTTCTTGTTATCTATGGCTACAACTTCCAGAGTCCGGAATTACATATTTTGGATCATACATCTCTCACCGTGACAAAGGATGGACTTCCATGTCCATAAGAACTCTGCCAGAATCAAAATCAAAAGACGTGTTTCAAGACTATTGGGGGCATAGATATGTTTTTATTCCATCTTTATTAGCCAAGTTCCCAAGACCAGGCGGACAGAGACTGTTATGTCCAGTAAGAGGTTTGAGGTGGTATCTTCATAGAGCTAAACTAGAAGGTGTTTGTTTATACCTTGTCATAAGAGTTTAGATTCCGAAATCACTAAAACTACAATTGCTGTTGGCTCAGTAAGACAATTATTCAGGCTTATGTTTCATCTGAATCGAAATTGACATCTTCCAAATTAAGTCCTCATGAAATTAGGGCTTAAACAACATCCTTGGCAGCTTGGAAAACAGTATCAGTGCAACAAGTAGTGGCAATTTTATCTAAGAGGCATTCAGACTTCTCTAGAAGGAATTTAAAGCCTTGGTCCAGTGGTAGCCACTCAATCCATTACCAACTCCGGACGCTTGTTCTCCAAGCAGGAGGAAAAAGGGGTGTGGGAGAGTGTGGCTCCTCATCTGGAAAATAACAGGAAAACATTACCCCAATGAAAGTTGACCTTTGGCGATAATAAGATAATATACCATTTTATTGTATAAGTTGGAACTTTAAAATTAGTATAAACCGGAGGTGACATCACAATATTGGTTGTCACATCAGTATAAACCGAAAGTGGCATTATGATATTGGTTGTAACATCAGTTTAGACCCGAAGTGACATCATAATATTGGTTGTAACATCAGTATAGACCATAAGTGACATCACCATATTGGTTGTAACATCAGTATAAACCGGAAGTGATATCACAATGTTTTGGTTGTAACATCAGTATAAACCGGAAGTGACATCATAATATTGGTTGTAACATCAGTATAAACCAGAAGTGGCATTATGATATTGGTTGTAACATCAGTTTAGACCGGAAGTGACATCACAATATTGGTTGCAACATCAGTATACACCCGAAGTGACATCATAATATTGGTTGTAACATCAGTATAAACCAGAAGTGATATCACAATATTGGTTGTAACATCAGTATAAACCGAAAGTGATATCACAATATTGGTTGTAACATCAGTATAAACCAGAAGTGACATCACAATATTGGTTGTCACATCAGTATAAACCGAAAGTGGCATTATGATATTGGTTGTAACATCAGTTTAGACCGGAAGTGACATCATAATATTGGTTGTAACATCAGTATAGACCGGAAGTGATATCACAATGTTTTGGTTGTAACATCAGTATAAACCGGAAGTGACATCATAATATTGGTTGTAACATCAGTATAAACCAGAAGTGGCATTATGATATTGGTTGTAACATCAGTTTAGACCGGAAGTGACATCACAATATTGGTTGCAACATCAGTATACACCCGAAGTGACATCATAATATTGGTTGTAACATCAGTATAAACCAGAAGTGATATCACAATATTGGTTGTAACATCAGTATAAACCGGAAGTGATATCACAATATTGGTTGTAACATCAGTATAAACCAGAAGTGACATCACAATATTGGTTGTAACATCAGTATAAACCAGAAGTGACATCACAATATTGGTTGTAACATCAGTATAAACTGAAAGTGGCATTATGATATTGGTTGTAATATCAGTTTAGACCGGAAGTGATATCACAATATTGGTTGCAACATCAGTATACACCGGAAGTGACATCATAATATTGGTTGTAACATCAGTATCAACCGGAAGTGATATCACAATATTGGTTGTAACATCAGTATAAACCGGAAGTGACATCACAATATTGGTTGTAACATCAGTATACACTGGAAGTGACATCATAATATTGGTTGTAACATCAGTATAAACCGGAAGTGATATCACAATATTGGTTGTAACATCAGTATAAACCGGAAGTGATATCACAATATTGGTTGTAACATCAGTTTAGACCGGAAGTGACATCACAATATTGGTTGCAACATCAGTATACACCCGAAGTGACATCATAATATTGGTTGTCACATCAGTATAAACTGGAAGTGATATCACAATATTGGTTGTAACATAAGTATAAACCGGAAGTGACATCACAATATTGGTTGTAACATCAGTATACACTGGAAGTGACATCATAATATTGGTTGTAACATCAGTATAAACCGGAAGTGATATCACAATATTGGTTGTAACATCAGTATAAACCGGAAGTGATATCACAATATTGGTTGCAACATCAGTATACACCCGAAGTGACATCATAATATTGGTTGTAACATCAGTATAAACCGGAAGTGACATCATAATATTGGTTGTAACATCAGTATAAACCAGAAGTGATATCACAATATTGGTTGTAACATCAGTATACACTGGAAGTGACATCATAATATTGGTTGTAACATCAGTATAAACCGGAAGTGATATCACAATATTGTTTGTAACATCAGTATAAACCGGAAGTGACATCACAATATTGGTTGTAACATCAGTTTAGACCGGAAGTGACATCACAATATTGGTTGCAACATCAGTATACACCCGAAGTGACATCATAATATTGGTTGTCACATCAGTATAAACCGGAAGTGATATCACAATATTGGTTGTAACATAAGTATGAACCGGAAGTGACATCACAATATTGGTTGTAACATCAGTATACACTGGAAGTGACATCATAATATTGGTTGTAACATCAGTATAAACCAGAAGTGATATCACAATATTGGTTGTAACATCAGTTTTAACCGAAAGTGGCATTATGATATTGGTTGTAACATCAGTTTAGACCGGAAGTGACATCACAATATTGGTTGTAACATAACGGAAGTGACGTCAAAATATTGGTTGTAACATCAGTATACACTGGAAGTGACATCATAATATTGGTTGTAACATCAGTATAGACCGGAAGTGACGTCACAATATTGGTTGTAACATCAGTATAAACCGGAAGTGACATCATAATATTGGTTGTAACATCAGTATACACCGGAAGTGGGATTATGATATTGGTTGTAACATCAGTATAGACCGGAAGTGACATCACAATATTGGTTGTAACATCAGTATAATCCGGAAGTGACGTCAAAATATTGGTTGTAACATCAGCATAGACCGGAAGCGACATCATAATATTGATTGTAACATCAGTATAGACCGGAAGTGACGTCTTACAACAAAGTGACATCATATTTAAGCAGCTGGTTATTTGTAGTGATTTGGTCAATCTATACCGGTAACATCCAATCTCAAGCTCTCCTTCTATTTTGGCCGCTGTAAGACTAAATAGTGGACAATATCAGTGGTATGTGGCATGTGTATAATTGTCAGAACCCCCTGACGGTTTGTTGGATTCTGGGCAGTCATTTACTAGAGGAAGTGTTTACGTAATAATTATGAACAACTACATAATTCGTCAGTAATTTTACTAGTAAACTTAACTCTAGTATCTGAGGTGTATTCACCCCTCCTCCCCAGTCTCCGAATTATTGATCTTATAGGGTAAGAGAAATAATGACTTTGAGGCATTACACATGTGCGAAGGGCTGGGTTTCCCTTGTTAATGGAGATAACTCAAGGAAAGAACAACATGTACCATATTCTTTAACCTTGTGATCACCTGCAAGCATAAAAAATAGGGCAATTATAGGGGTAAGTTTACTAATATAAGTAGTAACAATGTATGTAATTGTTCATAATCCCTGCATATATGGGTAAAACAGTATTCTCAGTACCGTGATATGGATCATGAAATAATATGGGTAAGGAACTATATTTACTAGAAATACTACGTTGTTGTTAAATTTGTGATGACAAAATATCAATATCCAGATTTGGGAGGTTTACAACGAGCGTCGGTGTGTGCGAACATATGCAGGCCATAAACAGGCCGTGAGAGACATCACCTTCAACAATGATGGCAAGGAGTTCCTCAGCTGTGGTTATGACAGATATTGCAAGCTGTGGGACACAGAGACAGGTGAGGGGTGGGACACAGACAGGTGGGGAGTGGGACACTGACAGGTGAGGGCGGGGACACTGACAGGTACGGGGTGGGACACAAACAGGTAGGGGGTTGGACACAAACAGGTGAGGAGTGGGACACAGACAGGTGAGGGGTGGGACACAGACAGGTGAGGGGTGGGACACTGACAGGTACGGGGTGGGACACAAACAGGTGAGGGGTGGGACACAGACAGGTGGGGAGTGGGACACAGAGACAGGTGAGGGGTGGGACACATACAGGTGAGGGGTGGGACACAGACAGGTGGGGAGAGGGACACTGACAGGTGAGGGCCGGGACACTGACAGGTACGGGGTAGGACACAAACAGGTGAGGGGTGGGACACAGACAGGTAGGGGGTAGGACACAAACAGGTACGGGGTGGGACACAAACAGGTAGGGGGTGGGACACAAACAGGTGAGGGCCGGGACACTGACAGGTGAGGGCCGGGACACTGACAGGTACGGGGTAGGACACAAACAGGTAGGGGTGGGAGACAAAAAGGTTAGGGCCGGGACACTGACAGGTGAGGGGTGGGAGACAGACAGGTGAGGGGTGGGATACAGACAGGTAGGGGGTGGGACACAAACAGGTGAGGGCCGGGACACTGACAGGTGAGGGCCGGGACACTGACAGGTACGGGGTAGGACACAAACAGGTAGGGGTGGGAGACAAACAGGTAGGGGGTGGGACACAAACAGGTGAGGGGTGGGAGACAAACAGGTGAGGGCCGGGACACTGACAGGTGAGGGCCGGGACACTGACAGGTACGGGGTAGGACACAAACAGGTAGGGGTGGGAGACAAAAAGGTTAGGGCCGGGACACTGACAGGTGAGGGGTGGGAGACAAACAGATGAGGGGTGGGACACAGACAGGTGAGGGGTGGGATACAGACAGGTGGGGAGTGGGACACTGACAGGTACAGGGTGGGACACAAACAGGTCAGGGGTGGGACACAAACAGGTCAGGGGACACAAACAGGTCAGGGGTGGGACACAGACAGGTGAGGGGTGGAACACAAACAGGTAGGGGGTGGGACACAAACAGGTCAGGGGTGGGACACAAACAGGTCAGGGGTGGGACACAAACAGGTAGGGGGTGGGACACAGACAGGTAGGGGTGGGACACAGACAGATGAGGGGTGGGACACAAACAGGTCAGGGGTGGGACACAAACAGGTCAGGGGTGGGACACAGACAGGTGAGGGGTGGAACACAAACAGGTAGGGGGTGGGACACAAACAGGTCAGGGGTGGGACACAAACAGGTCAGGGGACACAAACAGGTCAGGGGTGGGACACAGACAGGTGAGGGGTGGGACACAAACAGGTCAGGGGTGGGACACAAACAGGTAGGGGGTGGGACACAAACAGGTCAGGGGTGGGACACAAACAGGTCAGGTGTGGGACACAAACAGGTCAGGTGTGGGACACAGACAGGTCAGGGGTGGGACACAGACAGGTAGGGGTGGGACACAGACAGATGAGGGGTGGGACACAAACAGGTCAGGGGTGGGACACAAACAGGTCAGGGGTGGGACACAGACAGGTGAGGGGTGGAACACAAACAGGTAGGGGGTGGGACACAAACAGGTTAGGGGTGGGACACAAACAGGTCAGGCGTGGGACCCAGACAGGTGAGGGGTGGGACACAAACAGGTAGGGGGTGGGACACAAACAGATGAGGGGTGGGACACAGATAGGTGGGGAGTGGGACACAGACAGGTGAGGGGTGGGACACAAACAGATGAGGGGTGGGACACAGACAGGTGAGGGGTGGGACACAGACAGGTGAGGGGTGGGACACAGACAGGTACGGGGTGGGACACAAACAGGTCAGGCGTGGGACACAAACAGGTAGGGGGTGGGACACAGACAGGTGAGGGGTGGGACACAGACAGGTGAGGGGTGGGACACAAACAGATGAGGGGTGGGACACAAACAGGTGAGGGGTGGGACACAGGCAGGTGAGGGGTGGGACACAAACAGGTGAGGGGTGGGACACAGACAGGTCAGGCGTGGGACACAAACAGGTAGGGGGTGGGACACAGATAGGTGGGGAGTGGGACACAGGCAGGTGAGGGGTGGGACACAAACAGGTGAGGGGTGGGACACAAACAGGTGAGGGGTGGGACACAAACAGGTCAGGCGTGGGACACAAACAGGTAGGGGGTGGGACACAGATAGGTGGGGAGTGGGACACAGGCAGGTGAGGGGTGGGACACAAACAGGTGAGGGGTGGGACACAAACAGGTGAGGGGTGGGACACAAACAGGTAGGGGGTTGGACACAAACAGGTGAGGAGTGGGACACAGACAGGTGAGGGGTGGGACACAGACAGGTGAGGGGTGGGACACTGACAGGTACGGGGTGGGACACAAACAGGTGAGGGCCAGGACACTGACAGGTACGGGGTGGGACACAAACAGGTGAGGGGTGGGACACAGACAGGTGGGGAGTGGGACACAGAGACAGGTGAGGGGTGGGACACATACAGGTGAGGGGTGGGACACAGACAGGTGGGGAGTGGGACACTGACAGGTGAGGGCCGGGACACTCACAGGTACGGGGTAGGACACAAACAGGTGAGGGGTGGGACACAGACAGGTGGGGAGTGGGACACAGAGACAGGTGAGGGGTGGGACACATACAGGTGAGGGGTGGGACACAGACAGGTGGGGAGTGGGACACTGACAGGTGAGGGCCGGGACACTGACAGGTACGGGGTGGGAGACAAACAGGTTAGGGTTGGCACACAGACAGGTGAGGGGTGGGAGACAAACAGGTGAGGGGTGGGAGACAAACAGGTGAGGGGTGGGACACAGACAGGTGAGGGGTGGGATACAGACAGGTGGGGATTGGGACACTGACAGGTACAGGGTGGGACACAAACAGGTGAGGGGTGGAACACAAGCAGGTAGGGGGTGGGACACAAACAGGTCAGGGGTGGGACACAAACAGGTCAGGTGTGGGACACAGACAGGTCAGGGGTGGGACACAGACAGGTAGGGGTGGGACACAGACAGATGAGGGGTGGGACACAAACAGGTGAGGGGTGGGACACAAACAGGTCAGGGGTGGGACACAGACAGGTGAGGGGTGGAACACAAACAGGTTAGGGGTGGGACACAAACAGGGGAGGGGTGGGACACAAACAGGTGAGGGGTGGGACACAGACAGGTAGGGGGTGGGACACAGATAGGTGGGGAGTGGGACACAGGCAGGTGAGGGGTGGGACACAAAAAGGTGAGGGGTGGGACACAAACAGGTGAGGGGTGGGACACAAACAGGTCAGGGGTGGGACACAAACAGGTGAGGGGTGGGACACAGACAGGTAGGGGGTGGGACACAGATAGGTGGGGAGTGGGACACAGGCAGGTGAGGGGTGGGACACAAAAAGGTGAGGGGTGGGACACAAACAGGTGAGGGGTGGGACACAAACAGGTGAGGGGTGGGACACAAACAGGTCAGGGGTGGGACACAAACAGGTGTGGAGTGGGACACAGATAGGTGGGGGGTGGGACACAAACAGGTAGGGGGTAGGACACAAACAGGTCAGGCGTGGGACACAGACAGGTCAGGCGTGGGACACAGACAGGTGGGGGGAGGGACACAAACAGGTAGGGGGTGGGACACAGACATGTCAGGCGTGGGACACAGATAGGTGAGGGGTGGGACACAAACAGGTAGGGGGTGGGACACAGACAGTAACGGGGTGGGACACAAACAGGTCAGGCGTTGGACACAAACAGGTAAGGGGTGGGACATACACAGGTGAGACACAAACAGGTCAGGCGTGGGACACAAACAGGTAGGGGGTGGGACACAAACAGGTGAGGGGTGGGACACAGATAGGTTGGGAGTGGGACACAGGCAGGTGAGGGGTGGGACACATACAGGTGAGGGGTGGGACACAGACAGGTATGGGGTGGGACAAAGACAGTAACGGGGTGGGACACAGACAGTAACGGGGTGGGACACAAACAGGTCAGGCGTGGGACACAAACAGGTAAGGGATGGGACACAAACAGGTAGGGGGTGGGACACAAACAGGTGAGGGGTGGGACACAAACAGGTCAGGCGTGGGACCCAGACAGGTGAGGGGTGGGACACAGACAGTAACGGGGTGGGACACAAACAGGTGAGGGGTGGGACACAAACAGGTAAGGGATGGGACACAAACAGGTAGGGGGTGGGACACAAACAGGTGAGGGGTGGGACACAGATAGGTGGGGAGTGGGACACAGGCAGGTGAGGGGTGGGACACAAACAGGTGAGGGGTGGGACACAAACAGGTGAGGGGTGGGACACAGACAGTAACGGGGTGGGACACAGACAGTAACGGGGTGGGACACAAACAGGTCAGGCGTGGGACACAAACAGGTAAGGGATGGGACACAAACAGGTAGGGGGTGGGACACAAACAGGTGAGGGGTGGGACACAAACAGGTAGGGGGTTGGACACAGACAGGTGAGGGGTGGGACACAGACAGTAACGGGGTGGGACACAGACAGGTCAGGCGTGGGACACAAACAGGTAAGGGATGGGACACAAACAGGTAGGGGGTGGGACACAAACAGGTGAGGGGTGGGACACAGATAGGTGGGGAGTGGGACACACATAGGTGAGGGGTGGGACACATACAGGTGAGGGGTGGGACACAAACAGGTCAGGGGTGGGACACAAACAGGTCAGGGGTGGGACACAAACAGGTCAGGGGTGGGACACATACAGGTGAGGGGTGGGACACAAACAGGTGAGGGGTGGGACACAGATAGGTGGGGAGTGGGACACAGATAGGTGGGGAGTGGGACACAGATAGGTGAGGGGTGGGACACATACAGGTGAGGGGTGGGACACAAACAGGTGAGGGGTGGGACCGAATGACAACATTCTTGTGTTTGATACACATAACAACTTAATTTGATTTCTGTGGCCATTTTGCCAAATATTCAAAGAATGGATTATGCATTTTTAAAGTGTGTGAGGCTATATACAATCTAAAGGTTGTGGAATAGTGGTGAGAGGCGTCAGATACAACTGTATCTGCCACAACCATGTGGAAATGTACAAGAATGCATATTTTATGTTTGTTTGGCTGAGTTTAACATGATGATTGTGTCTTTTCATACTATATTTGTTCTCCACACCAGGTCAGTGCAAGTCTCACTTTACCAGCCGGAAGGTGCCCTACTGCATCAAGTTTAACCCTGATGAGGACAAGCAACATCTGTTTGTGGCTGGCACTTCGGATAAGAAGATCGTCTGTGTAAGAGTCTTGCTTGTTGGCTGCAAGATGTATCTGTTACCTATAGTTTTTAACTTGTCTCTCCACAACAGTATGCAATATTCCCTCTTGCTTTGATTGTAACGTTCAACCTAACACACCCGACTACCACATCGCTCCCAACATGCTCCTGGTTACCTCATCATATTTTCCTTCATCACATAAAATGAGAGGACGTTTATTTGATCCACTATTGAATTACGATTGGGAATAGACTTGTTTGTCACTTACTTTCTTACTCAGTACATGCACTAGGCTGGTACATCGACGTACACCAGTCATTTTCAGCAACAGCGAAAACATCTCTTCCTCCCAATCATCAAGGACGGCCACAGGAACATATCTAGGAAAACCATGTCCTTTTGGCTGCTCTCCCCAATTCTTGAAGTTTACACCCATGCTGAAATGGATCCTCCTTGAGTTTCAAACACGCATGAAATTCTAGTGTTGGCATCCGTGATGGCACTCCACACCAACAGTTCACTCATAGACATCGTCCTGGAGATGTTTTTGCAACATATTTATGTACCTGGCCTAACATAGCGAGGTGGTGACATATTGTGGTCTAGTGAAGTTGAACACACCCATGGGTTGAAGACAAAGTGGCAGTCTAGTCCAGTCAGAGCCCGACCACAATCACATGAGGGGGTATGAAGTTCATCCAACTGATCGTACTACTGTTGTGGAGGAATAAGTAAAACAATAGGGACTATCATATTTATATACTTATCCTGACGCAACACGTTGTGACTGTCCGCCAGTCCATCCACCCGAAGATTGAATCAACTTGTTACCTGTTTACAGGAACTCATAGGAAACGATGACGAGGTCACCAGCTGGGTGCCATGTTGTCAGAGGGTGCGCCTGGTGAATGTTCCACATTGTTCTACACTGTTTTACAATCAAAGCAATAAGGAATATTGCATACTGTTGTGTCAGGATAAGTATATAAACAAGGGAAATACTCACATTCCCTGTAATAAGAGCTGTGTACATGTGAGTTAATTTTTTTTATTGGTGATTGACATTATTGATATTATATTTGTTGAAAAGTGTCGGGTATTATACTCATGATCTGCGATCTAGTAGGTGAAACATGCATCAGGCTGCCCCATGTATTGTTCAAATGCAGGATCTGATATGTCCCGTGACCAGTTTACTGTAGTGCAACTTGAAATTACTGGAATCACATATCATTGACATCAGGACTGTAGTTGTCCTGGTGTATATTTACAGTGGGACATCAGGTCAGGGGAGGTGTTATAGGGGAAGTTGACTGTAGTTGTCCTGGTGTATATTTACAGTGGAACATCAGGTCAGGGGAGGTGTTATAGGGGAAGTTGACTGTAGTTGTCCTGGTGTATATTTACAGTGGGACATCAGGTCAGGGGAGGTGTTATAAGGGAAGTTGACTGTAGTTGTCCTGGTGTATATTTACAGTGGGACATCAGGTCAGGGGAGGTGTTATAGGGGAAGTTGACTGTAGTTGTCCTGGTGTATATTTACAGTGGGACATCAGGTCAGGGGAGGTGTTATAGGGGAAGTTGACTGTAGTTGTCCTGGTGTATATTTACAGTGGGACATCAGGTCAGGGGAGGTGTTATAGGGGAAGTTGACTGCAGTTGTCCTGGTGTATATTTACAGTGGGACATCAGGTCAGGGGAGGTGTTATAGGGGAAGTTGACTGTAGTTGTCCTGGTGTATATTTACAGTGGGACATCAGGTCAGGGGAGGTGAGTAGTATAGGTAATGATGGTTCCGCCGCAACTCCACTGGAGCCAGATTTATATACCTATACTGCTACTACAGATGGAATTTTTTATGCCAAAATGACTATGCGATTTAACGATAGTCATGAGATTAAATTAAATTGACTCCAGCTCACCACCACCTGCAGTCAATCAATGCTTCTATGATATAAATTTTTATAGGTAATGGGGGTTCTGGACCACTTCCACTGGAGCCAGATTTATATACCTATACTGCCACTACAGGGGGAATTTTTTATGCAAAAATGATGATGTGATTCAACGATAGTCATCAGACTAAACTAAATTGTAATGAAAATATTCTCTATTATTTTTACTCATATGTATACCATTATTTTTTACAAAGTGATATTCAACATGTTTACTAAGTTCTTCGTTCATTTTACTAGGAGACCAGACTATATACTCTTCTTGGTAATTGGAAAGAAACAATTGATGACCGTATTTGGTTGGTTTGACATCACTGATATAATATATACCTTGTGGTAATTCTCTCCATTTGATAATTTTGTCCCTGAGCATAAATGCTTCGATAGCTTTTTCGAGTTCTTCCTTTGTTGGTTTGTAATTCTCCATTATTATATACTTACGTAAACATTCTTCTAAATGTGATCTAATGATAGGAAGCAATCTATTTTTAATCTCCAACCAGTTCTTTGGTTTTGGCACGGAATAATTGACGTGCTTGTTGTCTCCCCTGTTCTATGGACTTTTTTTTCTCTTCTTCGCTAATACCACTGGTCTTACGAGAATTAGATCGAATCTCCTGCTTCATTGCGTTGTATTTGGTGAGTTCTGACTGCACTAAATGAAACTCCTCCTCGGATATCTTACAATCAGCCATTGCTGTTGAAATATGATCCTCAATGCTGTTCAACTTTGCTTCGGCGAGTATCCGAATATTATCATGTTTTAATGCTTTCTTTTGCAACTTACGAGAAATGAATTTTATCGTTATTCCTGCCAGTCCTGAGACTCCGGCGGCTATTTCCATGCCAAGTACGATAGGCGCGACGATTATAGTTGATAATAAACCAACACCGGCTACACCGAGTCCCATGCCAGCTGTTACAAGCGCGGTGTCAACTCCGTCCAGAGCATTCACGGCTCTGAGATACTTTATATACAATCCAAGTCTAAACTCCCTCTCCTTCTCTATTCGATGTTTTATGTCGCTTATTTGATGTAATCGAAATCCATCAACAGTATCCATCTTTTCAAATGCCTCATCGAGCGCCGGATATAAACCAATAGTGTATATTAAGGTCATATAATAGTCTTTAATTGATCTTGCTTAAATGTTTTGAGAGTATACATCAACCTTATCAAATGTATATTATACGGCAAGAATATCTTAGTAAGAGAAATGCTGTCACTTTTAATAATTTGGACCCCCTCAAGGGTTGCAACGGGTGATGCTCCAATATGAATAATACTGCAACGTCGGCGCTCGTGTTTCTTTAGCCATTTAATCGATAGACCTGGTAATATTTCGAAGGCATCTACCGGTGCATCTCCGAACAAGACTTCAATAATAAGCGTAGAAAGATTAGGTATTGCACTCAAGTTCTGTTTAATATCATTGAATTCAGTAACCAAATTTAAACTAACATTTTTTACTGCCGGACGACTATATAACATATGACCTGGGTTTTCTGGCAGGGGAGAGACTAACACACTTTTTCGTTTTGATGGGATATAAGCCCCGAGTACGATGCCACTATTTGTTACCTTAGTTAAATTATGTCCTTTACCCATCATCACATAGGTGGGGTAATGACGATATTCAGTAGCCACTCGATGTTTGCTTCGACCATAGTCCATTTATTATCATCGTTGTGAGTAAGATTGTACGAAGTGGTTTTTCTAAGGAGTCTACTAACATCGACATCGCTTAAATCTCCTAGATTACCTGTGAATGTAACTTCTTTCTGCTTGTATACATTATCTTGTAAGTGTAAAGCGTATAACTTACCATCGGTACCGGGTTTACCGAATCCTTCTGTGTCTCCGAGATCGGAAAGCGCAATTGTATGACATTGTCTGAGTGTTCCAGGGCCTGATGAATCAACCATTATTTATAATATGGAGTGTTACACTCAAGTATCCTATATGTACAGGTTGGTGTTTTACATCTAATACAGAAATTTTGAGGTCTGAAATAATGCCACGCTTTAATTTTTTATTTGGAATGATGAGAAAGAGTCTGTTCTACCACTATTATATTTTTCATCTTTCACTGGAATAGATCTGAATAGAGTTGAAGGACTTTCTAGTTGAATAATATCCGTCGTACTGATTTGATCAAGATGGATGCACAACTCTTTATAGGGAACTAAATCGGGTAATTTATCTCCATCAAATGTTGACTTGATGAATGTTATATCTCCGATTGCAAATCCAAGTGTAATTCCTAAGTTCGTTAAAAGCTTTACATCCTTTTCTCCAGCGCTTAAAATCAGTATCCCATTCGACTCATTTTGTGTGAGACTAATTCCATTAGGCTTAAAAATTTCATCATTGAGTGAGCATACGCTGTAATACCTATCAGGTATAATAATGTATTTGTCAATACCATCATTTTTACCTAATATAAACATCTCATTATTTCTTTTCACAGCATTTATATTGGTCCACTGTGGGTAATACGTTACATCGCATAGGGCGACTTCAAGTTGACCATCCGAATTATCGATAGTATGAAGCAGTTGAATAAATAGACTGACCATTTGTTATTCCCGGGAGTGTAACATACATATTAAATATACAATGATACTATATCATAACTTAAATATGAAATCAACTTATATTACTAATCAGTCGATTTTAGTAAGTGCCTCTGGTGCTAATTTTGTTGTTGAATTCCCTGATATCTTTGAAAAATACAGGTTCACGGCAACTAGCGATAAAATGGTGCACGAATGGTTTCACAATCCAATGCAATTTTGGCAGAATCAGTTAAACTTTGCCATATGGTGTGCCACAACGGGATGTGGTGTATCTCTTTATACCCCAGGATTTGAACTAAATAAGTCTGTTTTATCATTTCACGTGTATTATCAGATTAGACGTATACTTAAAGAAATTAGTGCCCCATTACCGCAGGATCGAGCATGGAATGCATCAAATAATCCGTACAATAGGTTTGCGTATGAACGTATTTGTCAGGAATTTAATATTTCTACATGTAAAGATTGGCGTATTAAAGGAATTAATCATGGTCTAGGTGTTCCGTACAGCGGTCAAAAAACTGTTAAAGAAGAAAGCGATGATTTAGTTATAAAAACTCATAAACCATTCGATCCATTTAAGTTGTTACAGAAAAACAATCTTTTTGTAAGATAACATAATCTTATTCATGGCTGGGAACTTTCGAGTAACAATTGGAGAGGTTCTCTTATGAGTTTTAAGGGTGGTTGGCTTATATTGTTACAAAATTTGAGCAACTGAACGATACCGCAAACGCTTGGAATGAATTTCTATATGATAAAACAGAAAATAATTTTACTAACCCAGGAGTTGTAAGAGTTAATGAATCAATAAGAACTTATGTATGGGCAATTCTTGGTGCACAATCGCAAACACGAACGTCCATTATTGGTTCTGGGACGGCACTCGATGCACAAAAACAGTTTGTCGCAAACGTGGAGGATGCTATTAATTCACCAGTTGACATACCATCTTCTATAAAGCGTTATCAAGATGTATTACAGTACGCTCAATCCAAAGTAGACTACGTTTATGCGGATCTACTTGAAATAGCTTAGGCCATTTTAGTGGTCCGCGTTTATATATACGGCTTAGTGCATCAGCTACCGTTGAATCTTTCGAAGTTAATGGCTCAGCCTCTTTGTATCAACTTGCCACATCCACTACGGTTAAAGCGTTTTATACGTTTTGCGTCTTACCTTATCGTGGGGAAGAAACAAGAGGTCAGCCTGATGAACTGCATTCGTTGTAAAAATATCAAACTTCTTCCTCGGTATATAAGGCGGTGCTGGTAAGTACATTTGCCACATCGCTTGTTTCTTTAACCAATCCTTGGCCACATATTTAGAAACCTTAGCCGCGGTGGCTAATTTTTTTATTGCTCCTATACCTTTCCAATATCCTCGTGGGCTATAGTAAATTTTATCCATTATTAATTAATATTGATGTTTCTTTTAATTAGTCTTATGACTATCGCTGAATCGCATAGTCATTTACACATAAAAATTCCATCTGTAGTAGCAGTATAGGTATATAAATCCGGCTCCAGTGGAAGTGGTCCAGAACCCCTATTACCTATAAAAATTAATATCATAGAAGCATTGATTGACTGCAGGTGGTGGTGAGCTAGAGTCAGTTTAGTTTAATCTCATGACTATTGTTGAATCGCATAGTCATTTACACATAAAACATTCCATCTGTAGTAGCAGTATAGGTATATAAATCTGGCTCCAGTGGAGTTGCGGCGGAACCATCATTACCTATACTACTAGGTGTTATTGGGGAAGTTGACTGTAGTTGTCTTGGTGTATATTTACAGTGGGACATCAGGTCAGGGGAGGTGTTATAGGGGAAGTTGACTGTAGTTGTCTTGGTGTATATTTACAGTGGGACATCAGGTCAGGGGAGGTGTTATAAGGGAAGTTGACTGTAGTTGTCCTGGTGTATATTTACAGTGGGACATCAGGTCAGGGGAGGTGTTATAGGGGAAGTTGACTGTAGTTGTCCTGGTGTATATTTACAGTGGGACATCAGGTCAGGGGAGGTGTTATAGGGGAAGTTGACTGTAGTTGTCCTGGTGTATATTTACAGTGGGACATCAGGTCAGGGGAGGTGTTATAGGGGAAGTTGACTGTAGTTGTCCTGGTGTATATTTACAGTGGGACATCAGGTCAGGGGAGGTGTTATAAGGGAAGTTGACTGTAGTTGTCCTGGTGTATATTTACAGTGGGACATCAGGTCAGGGGAGGTGTTATAGGGGAAGTTGACTAGTTGTCCTGGTGTATATTTACAGTGGGACATCAGGTCAGGAGAGGTGTTATAGGGGAAGTTGACTGTAGTTGTCCTGGTGTATATTTACAGTGGGACATCAGGTCAGGGGAGGTGTTATAAGGGAAGTTGACTGTAGTTGTCCTGGTGTATATTTACAGTGGGACATCAGGTCAGGGGAGGTGTTATAGGGGAAGTTGACTGTAGTTGTCCTGGTGTATATTTACAGTGGGACATCAGGTCAGGGGAGGTGTTATAGGGGAAGTTGACTGTAGTTGTCCTGGTGTATATTTACAGTGGGACATCAGGTCAGGGGAGGTGTTATAGGGGAAGTTGACTGCAGTTGTCCTGGTGTATATTTACAGTGGGACATCAGGTCAGGGGAGGTGTTATAGGGGAAGTTGACTGTAGTTGTCCTGGTGTATATTTACAGTGGGACATCAGGTCAGGGGAGGTGTTATAGGGGAAGTTGACTGCAGTTGTCCTGGTGTATATTTACAGTGGGACATCAGGTCAGGGGAGGTGTTATAGGGGAAGTTGACTGTAGTTGTCCTGGTGTATATTTACAGTGGGACATCAGGTCAGGAGAGGTGGTGCAGGAGTATGATCGCCATCTTGGAGCTGTGAACAGCATCACATTTGTTGACCAGAACCGTAGATTTGTAACAACTTCTGATGACAAAAGTTTAAGAGTTTGGGAGTGGTGAGTGTCAAGAGAGTTGTATATATGACATGCTTATAGTGTGATGGCATAAAGGTGTATGGCATGCTTATAGTGTTGTGACCAAAATGTGTATGACATTCAAGTTACAATCGGTCTTCTGCAACCCATGCTTGTCGTAAGAGGCAACTTGGTCAATGCATGTCATAGTATCCCAGTTACTTGGATCGATGCTCATGATGTCAATCTATAGATTGTCTGGTCCAGACTAAATTATTTACAGACCGTTGTCATATAGCTTGAATATTGCAGCATTAAACGTCAAACAAACAAACAAACAATCAAAACATATTTATATTGTAATGACCTACATGTGCATGACATGCTTGTTGTGTAATGACTCACATGTGCATGACATGCTTGTTGTGTAATGAACTACATGTGCATGGCTTGCTTGTAGTGTAATGACCTACATCTGTATGACATGCTTGTAGTGTAATGACTCACATGTGCATGACATGCTTGTAGTGTAATGACTCACATGTGCATGACATGCTTGTAGTGTAATGACTCACATGTGCATGACATGCTTGTAGTGTAATGACTCACATGTGCATGACATGCTTGTAGTGTAATGACTCACATGTGTATGACATGCTTGTTGTGTAATGAACTGCATGTGTGTGACATGCTTGTAGTGTAATGACTCACATGTGCATGACATGCTTGTAGTGTAATGACATACATCTGTATGACATGCTTGTAGTGTAATGACTCACATGTGCTTGACATTCTTGTAGTGTAATGACCTACATGTGCATGACATGCTTGTTGTGTAATGACTCACATGTGCATGACATGCTTGTTGTGTAATGAACTACATGTGCATGGCTTGCTTGTAGTGTAATGACCTACATCTGTATGACATGCTTGTAGTGTAATGACTCACATGTGTATGACATGCTTGTAGTGTAATGACTCACATGTGCATGACATGCTTGTAGTGTAATGACTCACATGTGCATGACATACTTGTAGTGTAATGACTCACATGTGTATGACATGCTTGTTGTGTAATGAACTGCATGTGTATGACATGCTTGTAGTGTAATGACTCACATGTGCATGACATGCTTGTAGTGTAATGACCTACATCTGTATGACATGCTTGTAGTGTAATGACTCACATGTGCATGACATGCTTGTAGTGTAATGACTCACATGTGCATGACATGCTTGTTGTGTAATGAGCTGCATGTGTATGACATGCTTGTTGTGTAATGAACTGCATGTGTATGACATGCTTGTAGTGTAATGACCTACATGTGCATGACATGCTTGTAGTGTGATGACCTACATCTGTATGACATGCTTATCGTGAAATGACCTACATGTGTATGACATGCTTGTAGTGTTATGACCTACATGTGTATGACATGCATGTAGTTTGATGACCTACATGTGTATGACATGCTTGTAGTGTGATGACCTACATGTGCATGACATGCTTGTACTGTTATGACCTACATTTGCATGACATGCTTGTAGTGTGATGGCATACATGTGTATGACTTGCGTGTAGTGTGATGACCTACATGTGTATGACATGCTTGTACTGTTATGACCTACAGGTGTATGACATGCTTGTACTGTTATGACCTCCATGTGCATGACATGCTTGTAAATGTATTTTTTATTCTTTGACTTTTGAGCACTGTAATGAAAGATGATGATGTATATTTATTGTCTTTTAAGCCTTCAAATATCCTAAACTTTCATCATTTCTAGGGACATTCCAGTGGATTTCAAGTACATTGCAGACCCGTCCATGCACTCTATGCCATCTGTCACTCTCTCTCCCAACGGTAAGCCTCTCTTGTAGACACTATCTCTCTAAAGAGTAGATACTGCTAGTCCATGGACTAGTGGATAAAGTGTCTGCCAGAAGAGAAAAAGGGCAATGGTAGGCCACTCTTGTTAACACTCACTGTCCTGAAGGTAGGCCACACCTGTTGACACTCACTGTCCTAAAAGTAGGTCACTCTTGTTGACTCTCACTGTCCTAAAAGTAGGTCACTCTTGTTGACTCTCACTGTCCTAACAGTAGGTCACTCTTGTTGACACTCACTGTCCTAAAGGTAGGCCACTCTTGTTGACACTCACTGTTCTAAAAGTAGGTCACTCTTGTTGACACTCACTGTCCTAAAGGTAGGCCACTCTTGTTGACACTCACTCTTCTAAAAGTAGGTCACTCTTGTTGACACTCACTGTCCTAAAAGTAGGTCACTCTTGTTGACACTCACTGTCCTAAAGGTAGGCCACTCTTGTTGACCTTCACTGTTTTAAAGGTAGGCCACTCTTGTTGACACTCACTGTTCTAAAGGTAGGCCGCTCGTGTTGACGCTCACTGTTCTAAAGGTAAGCCTCTCTTGTTTACACTCACTGTTCTAAAGGTAAGCCACTCTTGTTGACACTCACTGTCCTGAAGGTAGGCCACTCTTGTTGACGCTCATTGTTCTAAAGGTAGGCCACTCTTGTTGACACTCACTGTTCTAAAGGTAGGCCGCTCGTGTTGACGCTCACTGTTCTAAAGGTAAGCCTCTCTTGTTTACACTCACTGTTCTAAAGGTAAGCCACTCTTGTTGACACTCACTGTCCTGAAGGTAGGCCACTCTTGTTGACACTCATTGTTCTAAAGGTAGGCCACTCTTGTTGACACTCACTGTCCTGAAGGTAGGTCACTCTTGTTGACACTCACTGTTCTAAAGGTAGGCCACTCTTGTTGACACTCACTGTCCTAAAGGTAGGCCACTCTTGTTGACACTCACTATCCTAAAGGTAGGCCACTCTTGTGGACACTCACTGTTCTAAAGGTAGGCCACTCTTGTTGGCACTCATTGTTTTAAACGTAAGCCACTCTTGTTGACACTCACTGTTCTAAAGGTAGGCCACTCTTGTTGACACTCACTGTCCTGAAGGTAGGCCACTCTTGTTGACGCTCACTGTTCTAAAGGTAGGCCACTCTTGTTGACACTCACTGTTCTAAAGGTAAGCCACTCTTGTTGACACTAACTGTCCTGGTAGGTCACTCTTGTTGACACTCACTGTTCTAAAGGTAGGCCACTCTTGTTGACACTCACTGTCCTAAAGGTAGGCCACTCTTGTTGACACTCACTGTTCTAAAGGTAGGCCACTCTTGTTGACACTCACTGTTCTAAAGGTAGGCCACTCTTGTGGACACTCACTGTTCTAAAGGTAGGCCACTCTTGTTGACACTCACTGTCCTAAAGGTAGGCCACTCTTGTTGGCACTCATTGTTTTAAACGTAAGCCACTCTTGTTGACACTCACTGTTCTAAAGGTAAGCCGCTCTTGTTGACACTCACTGTCCTAAAGGTAGGCCACTCTTGTTGACGCTCACTGTTCTAAAGGTAGGCCACTCTTGTTGACACTCACTGTTCTAAAGGTAAGCCACTCTTGTTGACACTCACTGTCCTGGTAGGTCACTCTTGTTGACACTCACTGTTCTAAAGGTAGGCCACTCTTGTTGACACTCACTGTTCTAAAGGTAGGCCACTCTTGTTGACACTCACTGCCCTAAAGGTAGGCCACTCTTGTTGACACTCACTGTTCTAAAGGTAGGCCACTCTTGTTGACACTCACTATCCTAAAGGTAGGCCACTCTTGTTGACACTCACTGTTCTAAAGGCAGGCCACTCTTGTTGACACTCATTGCCCTAAAGGTCGGCCACTCTTATTGACACTCACTGTTCTAAAGGCAGGCCACTCTTGTTGACACTCACTGTTCTAAAGGTAGGTCACTCTTGTTGACACTCACTGCCCTAAAGGTAGGCCACTCTTGTTGACACTCACTGTTCTAAAGGTAGGCCACTCTTGTTGACACTCACTGTTCTAAAGGTAGGCCACTCTTGTTGACACTCACTGTTCTAAAGGTAGGCCGCTCTTGTTGACACTCACTGTTCTAAAAGTAGGTCACTCTTGTTGACACTCACTGTCCGAAAAGTAGGCCACTCTTGTTGACACTCACTGTTCTAAAGGTAGGCCACTCTTGTTGACACTCACTGTTCTAAAGGTAAGCCTCTCTTGTTTACACTCACTGTTCTAAAGGTAAGCCACTCTTGTTGACACTCACTGTCCTGAAGGTAGGCCACTCTTGTTGACGCTCATTGTTCTAAAGGTAGGCCACTCTTGTTGACACTCACTGTTCTAAAGGTAGGCCGCTCGTGTTGACGCTCACTGTTCTAAAGGTAAGCCTCTCTTGTTTACACTCACTGTTCTAAAGGTAAGCCACTCTTGTTGACACTCACTGTCCTGAAGGTAGGCCACTCTTGTTGACACTCATTGTTCTAAAGGTAGGCCACTCTTGTTGACACTCACTGTCCTGAAGGTAGGTCACTCTTGTTGACACTCACTGTTCTAAAGGTAGGCCACTCTTGTTGACACTCACTGTCCTAAAGGTAGGCCACTCTTGTTGACACTCACTATCCTAAAGGTAGGCCACTCTTGTTGACACTCACTGTTCTAAAGGTAGGCCACTCTTGTTGGCACTCATTGTTTTAAACGTAAGCCACTCTTGTTGACACTCACTGTTCTAAAGGTAGGCCACTCTTGTTGACACTCACTGTCCTGAAGGTAGGCCACTCTTGTTGACGCTCACTGTTCTAAAGGTAGGCCACTCTTGTTGACACTCACTGTTCTAAAGGTAAGCCACTCTTGTTGACACTAACTGTCCTGGTAGGTCACTCTTGTTGACACTCACTGTTCTAAAGGTAGGCCACTCTTGTTGACACTCACTGTTCTAAAGGTAGGCCACTCTTGTTGACACTCACTGTTCTAAAGGTAGGCCACTCTTGTTGACACTCACTGTTCTAAAGGTAGGCCACTCTTGTGGACACTCACTGTTCTAAAGGTAGGCCACTCTTGTTGACACTCACTGTCCTAAAGGTAGGCCACTCTTGTTGGCACTCATTGTTTTAAACGTAAGCCACTCTTGTTGACACTCACTGTTCTAAAGGTAAGCCGCTCTTGTTGACACTCACTGTCCTAAAGGTAGGCCACTCTTGTTGACGCTCACTGTTCTAAAGGTAGGCCACTCTTGTTGACACTCACTGTTCTAAAGGTAAGCCACTCTTGTTGACACTCACTGTCCTGGTAGGTCACTCTTGTTGACACTCACTGTTCTAAAGGTAGGCCACTCTTGTTGACACTCACTGTTCTAAAGGTAGGCCACTCTTGTTGACACTCACTGCCCTAAAGGTAGGCCACTCTTGTTGACACTCACTGTTCTAAAGGTAGGCCACTCTTGTTGACACTCACTATCCTAAAGGTAGGCCACTCTTGTTGACACTCACTGTTCTAAAGGCAGGCCACTCTTGTTGACACTCATTGCCCTAAAGGTCGGCCACTCTTATTGACACTCACTGTTCCAAAGGCAGGCCACTCTTGTTGACACTCACTGTTCTAAAGGTAGGTCACTCTTGTTGACACTCACTGCCCTAAAGGTAGGCCACTCTTGTTGACACTCACTGTTCTAAAGGTAGGCCACTCTTGTTGACACTCACTGTTCTAAAGGTAGGCCACTCTTGTTGACACTCACTGTTCTAAAGGTAGGCCGCTCTTGTTGACACTCACTGTTCTAAAAGTAGGTCACTCTTGTTGACACTCACTGTCCGAAAAGTAGGCCACTCTTGTTGACACTCACTGTTCTAAAGGTAGGCCACTCTTGTTGACACTCACTGTTCTAAAGGTAAGCCACTCTTGTTGACACTCACTGTCCTGGTAGGTCACTCTTGTTGACACTCACTGTTCTAAAGGTAGGCCACTCTTGTTGACACTCACTGTTCTAAAGGTAGGCCACTCTTGTTGACACTCACTGCCCTAAAGGTAGGGCACTCTTGTTGACACTCACTGTTCTAAAGGTAGGCCACTCTTGTTGACACTCACTGTTCTAAAGGTAGGCCACTCTTGTTGACACTCACTGTTCTAAAGGTAGGCCACTCTTGTTGACACTCACTGTTCTAAAGGTAGGCCACTCTTGTTGGCACTCATTGTTTTAAACGTAAGCCACTCTTGTTGACACTCACTGTTCTAAAGGTAAGCCACTCTTGTTGACACTCACTGTCCTGAAGGTAGGCCTCTCTTGTTGACGCTCACTGTTCTAAAGGTAGACCACTGTTGTTGACACTCACTGTTCTAAAGGTAAGCCACTCTTGTTGACACTCACTGTCCTGGTAGGTCACTCTTGTTGACACTCACTGTTCTAAAGGTAGGCCACTCTTGTTGACACTCACTGTTCTAAAGGTAGGCCACTCTTGTTGACACTCACTGCCCTAAAGGTAGGCCACTCTTGTTGACACTCACTGTTCTAAAGGTAGGCCACTCTTGTTGACACTCACTATCCTAAAGGTAGGCCACTCTTGTTGACACTCACTGTTCTAAAGGCAGGCCACTCTTGTTGACACTCACTGCCCTAAAGGTAGGCCACTCTTGTTGACACTCACTGTTCTAAAGGCAGGCCACTCTTGTTGACACTCACTGTTCTAAAGGTAGGTCACTCTTGTTGACACTCACTGCCCTAAAGGTAGGCCACTCTTGTTGACACTCACTGTTCTAAAGGTAGGCCACTCTTGTTGACACTCACTGTTCTAAAGGTAGGCCACTCTTGTTGACACTCACTGTTCTAAAGGTAGGCCACTCTTGTTGACACTCACTGTTCTAAAAGTAGGCCACTCTTGTTGACACTCACTGTCCGAAAAGTAGGCCACTCTTGTTGACACTCACTGTTCTAAAGGTAGGCCACTCTTGTTGACACTCACTGTTCTAAAGGTAGGCCACTCTTGTTGACACTCACTGTTCTAAAGGTAGGCCGCTCTTGCTGACACTCCTGTTCTAAAGGTAGGTCACTCTTGTTGACACTCACTGTCCTAAAAGTAGGCCGCTCTTGTTGACACTCACTGTTCTAAAGGTAGGCCACTCTTGTTGACACTCACTGTTCTAAAGGTAGGCCACTCTTGTTGACACTCACTGTCCTAAAAGTAGGCCGCTCTTGTTGACACTCACTGTTCTAAAGGTAGGCCACTCTTGCTGACACTCCTGTTCTAAAGGCAGGCCACTCTTGTTGACACTCACGGTTCTTAAGGTAGGTCACTCTTGTTGACACTCACTGTTCTAAAGGTAGGCCACTCTTGTTGACGCTCACTGTTCTAAAGGTAGGCCACTCTTGTTGACACTCATTGTTCTAAAGGTAGGCCGCTCTTGTTGACACTCACTGTTCTAAAAGTAGGTCACTCTTGTTGACACTCACTGTCCTAAAAGTAGGCCACTCTCGTTGACACTCACTGTCCGAAAAGTAGGCCACTCTTGTTGACACTCACTGTTCTAAAGGTAGGCCACTCTTGTTGACACTCACTGTTCTAAAGGTAATCCACTCTTGTTGACACTCACTGTCCTGGTAGGTCACTCTTGTTGACACTCACTGTTCTAAAGGTAGGCCACTCTTGTTGACACTCACTGTTCTAAAGGTAGGCCACTCTTGTTGACACTCACTGCCCTAAAGGTAGGGCACTCTTGTTGACACTCACTGTTCTAAAGGTAGGCCACTCTTGTTGACACTCACTGTTCTAAAGGTAGGCCACTCTTGTTGACACTCAATGTTCTAAAGGTAGGCCACTCTTGTTGACACTCACTGTTCTAAAGGTAGGCCACTCTTGTTGGCACTCATTGTTTTAAACGTAAGCCACTCTTGTTGACACTCACTGTTCTAAAGGTAAGCCACTCTTGTTGACACTCACTGTCCTGAAGGTAGGCCTCTCTTGTTGACGCTCACTGTTCTAAAGGTAGGCCACTCTTGTTGACACTCACTGTTCTAAAGGTAAGCCACTCTTGTTGACACTCACTGTCCTGGTAGGTCACTCTTGTTGACACTCACTGTTCTAAAGGTAGGCCACTCTCGTTGACACTCACTGTTCTAAAGGTAGGCCACTCTTGTTGACACTCACTGCCCTAAAGGTAGGCCACTCTTGTTGACACTCCCTGTTCTAAAGGTAGGCCACTCTTGTTGACACTCACTATCCTAAAGGTAGGCCACTCTTGTTGACACTCACTGTTCTAAAGGCAGGCCACTCTTGTTGACACTCACTGCCCTAAAGGTAGGCCACTCTTGTTGACACTCACTGTTCTAAAGGCAGGCCACTCTTGTTGACACTCACTGTTCTAAAGGTAGGTCACTCTTGTTGACACTCACTGCCCTAAAGGTAGGCCACTCTTGTTGACACTCACTGTTCTAAAGGTAGGCCACTCTTGTTGACACTCACTGTTCTAAAGGTAGGCCACTCTTGTTGACACTCACTGTTCTAAAGGTAGGCCACTCTTGTTGACACTCACTGTTCTAAAAGTAGGTCACTCTTGTTGACACTCACTGTCCGAAAAGTAGGCCACTCTTGTTGACACTCACTGTTCTAAAGGTAGGCCACTCTTGCTGACACTCACTGTTCTAAAGGCAGGCCACTCTTGTTGACACTCACTATCCTAAAGGTAGGCCACTCTTGTTGACACTCACTGTTCTAAAGGTAGGCCACTCTTGTTGACACTCACTGTTCTAAAGGTAGGCCACTCTTGTTGGCACTCATTGTTTTAAACGTAAGCCGCTCTTGTTGACACTCACTGTTCTAAAGGTAAGCCACTCTTGTTGACACTCACTGTCCTGAAGGTAGGCCATTCTTGTTGACACTCACTGTTCTAAAGGTAGGCCACTCTTGTTGACACTCACGGTTCTTAAGGTAGGTCACTCTTGTTGACACTCACTGCCCTAAAGGTAGGTCACTCTTGTTGACACTCACTGTTCTAAAGGTAGGCCACTCTTGCTGACACTCACTGTTCTAAAGGCAGGCCACTCTTGTTGACACTCACTGTCCTAAAGGTAGGTCACTCTTGTTGACACTGCCCTAAAGGTAGGCCATTCCTGTTGACACTGTTCTAAAGGTAGGTCACTCTTGTTATCCTGCTGTTCAAGGAGAGGTGTAGATTCAATGATAAAATGTACAATTTTGGCCATTTTCCTACAAGAAATCTGTAAGTAAGTGTTTAAGTGAGTAATATCCCCATGATCAAAGTCAATGATCTCTCACAGGTTCACAGAATATATAATGTCAACATTGAAATACACTGCATATACAAAATGATATAATCATCTCAAAAGTATGAGGCTCACATTTATTATATACTTCAGTGTGAAAGACTGAGTTTCTGAAGTTGAGAAGAGTGATATTTTCATTGCAGTGAGTTACCACCCCTTAATTTGTCTCCCAGTATCGTAAGTGTTAAGCCCTTGCACAAACTGTTGACGTACTTTTTAAATTAGTTCCACATTGACAAGGCAAAATAATGAGGTTAATACTACTTCTTGACATTCGAAAATGTTTTGTTCTGAACTTATTTCACATTTAGCTCGTCAATCTAGACTATTTTCACTCGACACATGAAATATCCTCCCTTTATTTTATTCAGTGCAGACATTTGTGTGCAAAAGTGTACATTTTGTTCCAGGAAAGTGGTTGGCTTGTCAGTCTATGGATAACAAGATTTGTGTGTTCAATGTCCTCAACCGCTTCAAGTTCATGCGGAAGAAAACATTTACTGGTCATATGGTGAGACTTATATTATAGCTTGTCATCTGTCCATTAGGAACACTGACATGAGATGTATAGTTTACAATAGATTGTAGATGAAAGGAATACCTGTGTAATTATAATGGTCAGCCTTGTACATGTATTTCCACTCGGACTCCTAGTATTCCAGGAAGAAAAAGTTCTTGTGTAATCATGAATTGAATAAATTGTTAACAAACGTTTGTGTTTTGGGCAGTTAACATGTGCGACTCCCTGCATCACCTAACTCCATTTGATATTGCTTCAGGGATATTCCTGGTGTGGCCCACACTGTATACTGCTGTTGTTGGTTTCAGGTTGCTGGCTATGCGTGTTCCATTGACTTCTCTCCTGATATGAGGTATGTCTCTAACATTATTCAGATAAGTTCAGTGAGAGCAATCTCAAATCTGTTAAACGTTAATCATATGAAACACAATTGGCAGTCTTGCCATCAACCTCATCTAGGAGTTAAACTTATGTGATGTTTGTTCCAGCTACATTATCTCGGGCGACGCAGACGGCAAGCTGTACATCTGGGATTGGAAGAGCACGAAGCTGTACAACAAGTGGAAGGCACACGATGATGTGTGTATCGGGGTGCTATGGCATCCCCATGAGACCTCCAAGGTGGCCACCTGTGGCTGGGACGGGGTTATCAAGTACTGGGACTGAGGGCGACTCCGGGACCAGCTACACACATGCTACTTTCATCTCCAGCGACTCCATGTTACCAAATATCTGTGGCTATTCAAGTGAGCCTGATGCAGTCTATGGATTACATATTAACAGTCTGTGTCAAAAACTGTTTCTTTTATTGGAGTTTCATTGGCCCAAACAAGAATTACTCGACTTGGGCTTGTGGGTGGTCTAGTTGCAACAGACGAAAACTATATCAATATCTGGTTACTGCTACATTTAGTGAACAGAATCAACAGTTTTTTTCAAAAGGTAATTGGGATGTGAACCAAGGGAGATTCCACCATGTAGGGGGGGGCGGTTGGGTAGCCTAGTTCGCTCGTTACGCCTAAGACAGTATTCCAATCCCGACATGGGTACAATGTGTGAAGCCCATTTCTGCTGTCCCCCTGCCGTGATATTGCCAAAAGTGGCATAAAACCATACTCACTCACTCCCCCATGCTGCCCAACCACAGTAAACCAATCACATACATGCTGTTAGGACTACCAAGTTACTATATCCTTCATGAAGTCCACCCTCACAGACATAACACTCTGTAGTACTTGTAGACATGTAGAATCTTAATGCAGAAATTCTGCATAACTACATGTGTAATAAGTGTATATGCAACAGGTGTGACTGTAAATAGTAGGATGGCAGTCTTGTGATACATGTTTATGAAATACCTGTAAATTTTGTAAATAAACTATTCTTATACAACCTGTTTCCTTGTTACAGCCACAGTAGTATATGTGTGACCTGGATGATGTGTCATTCATTGTACATTCACTCTCACTGCTGAATCAGAGAAAAATACTGGTCACATTATTGTCGGTGCAAAATGTCTGACAGTACACCAGTCACTTTCCTTTTGATCAGTGATTTACATTGGGAGTATCAATGTGCATCCACTCTCACTGGTAGTGTTAATTCGTCACCTCCAGCAGCTCAGTGTGAGAGCTGGGACACATTTTTATGTATTGACTATTATCTTTAAAATAACAAACAACATCAATGTTTTTGTGCCCTTTATGTGCAAAACTTATAACAGAATGTAATATTCAGAATTCCATGTTTTCATCTTTCTGTTATAACATCAGATCACAATTTTTGATAAATAATAAACACAAACATTATCAAAAATAGATATCAGACCAACCTTAGATTCCAAAACACCATCTCAAGATCGTTTCAAACATTAATAATGCACAAATTTAACTAATGGATTAAATGAAGTGAAACTGCTCAAATACTACAAGCATGACTTATTCAATAATGTTAAAAGCATGGTAATATAGAACAACAGTATACTAGGATATTCAATCTTGTTAATAGAAGCTAAATATGACAGCATGCATATTGGTAAAAAAAAAAATGTAACAATCTCGTTAATAAGTTTGGATAACGGTGCCATATAAGGTTACAATATAAAACAAACAATGGGAGGGAAAATGAATATTTACAGAATGACTCTCACATTGGTCATGTTGGTTAAGATCATACATTATCCACATCACAGTCCAAACAATAGCAAGTCAAGTCTTGTACAGGCTTCTGCATTGTGTAAGATAGGTCTCCCACAGAGATCCATGCAATCAGTTACTGATACAAAGGTTCAACTTAAGCAGATGGGGGAGGTTATTGTCTGAAAACTATTTCTTCTGCAAATATTTTGATTTACTTTTGCCTCCCCGTCGGAAGTATGCTGTTTACACTACCCACAGGATCTTCAAAGCAATGTACTAAACAACGACGTACAACACTGTAAGCTGCCAACACCAGAGCACCAGGTGTCACATCTGCCAAACAACACACTTTAAGTACATACACGGGGAAAAGAATCACAGCACAGCACATGCTACAAAATTACAATTTCTCAACTTGTTCAACTTAGTCATTTATTTTGTAAGCCTATTTAATAATTCATTTGTTCAAAAATAAGATCACAATTTATTCACATTTAGATGATGTAAGAATGAGACATGGGGATAAAAACATTCCCTCAATAAAACTTATCACTTTTTGCATCCTTTTGTTGAAAGTGGACAGATATATTGGACTGTGTATAAGGCACTTCTGGTCATCAAACAAGGATACCCTAGGACAAGGACCATGGTGCCTACAGATGCAGAGTTCACATCTACCATGTAAACCACCTTCCAGTGAAGTAGTACCACAATCTGTACCACAATCTGTACCACCACATTGGTGCTCAATTCTCTAGCCAGGAGGAAATGTTACTGTAGAGCCTTCAACATCTTCCTCCCCATGTTCCGCATCTCTAGGATGCATCAGTAATGTTGTTGTACATATGTAGGTCACAGCCAGACATGACTGTCTCACTCACACACACACACACACTCACACTCACACACACACACACACACACACACTCACTCACTCACTCACACACTCTCACACACTCTCACTCACACATCCATTATGTCTGTCGCACACACATTCAGACACCCATTATGACTTAACAAATCTTGAGTAGTCACATCAACCATTGTTGTCATACAAACACCCATTGGGACATATGTTTTGAAGAATTATTCTCTGTGTACAAATGACTATGTAACATTTCTCTACATGACTTCAACCTATGTCCAAAATACACAGGTTGAACTTTGCAGTAACACTTCTATGAAAGTGGTCAGAGATGTTCCGGCCTCACTCTCAATATCCTCTGTAACACACCAGTATAACACTAAAACACATCCGTTCAGAACAATGCATTGTCATAAGGCATGTTGGGTACACACCCAATTCCAAATAAAATCCTCAATGAAACTGGTTGTTTCCAACACAATCGTTTCAAATGTAAAGAATGTAAAATATCTAATCCAAACAACATTCAAAACTAAAATGGTTTCTGTCAGGGTGATTACCAAAGGTATGTGTCGAACAAGTCCAAACATAAAAAGAACAAGTCACATGCTGCATCAATTTCATAATACCCACAAGATTACTCAGTGTAGGGGAAAGTATTGCCAAATCATCAATCCATCTTCATAGACAGGAATACACACATGGAGGGATTTAGTTAATCCTCAGTAGATTAATGACAAGTACGTCTGCACCTGCTTCACTCAAAGTGAGAATTACATGACAGACGGTATGAATGAGGGCCATAATCACCCAGACTGATAAAATGGATAAAAGGAAAATAACAAAATAAAACAAATGAATGAACCCCTCCCGATGAAACCTACAAGAGTAAGCAGACGCCACTATGTCTGCTGTGGTTGCAGTAGACACCTTGTTGATAACCCATGACTTCAATTCCAGCTTATTGGTTTGTTCAAAGGCTGAGCACATACAGCGAGCAGGTGCCCATTTTTCAGGCCAAGTTATGTGATACCCCTGTTAAAACACTCTAAGTGTTGTCCAAGGATGAATTTCGTGCAAATAAACATAATCTGCTGATAGGCATGATCAGGATTTTCCACATGGATAGTTTAGTTTCTCAATGCAGAAGTCGACCTATAAAGCAAGTATCAACTACTACCTTCTTCTAAGTCCTGGCTTGACAGTGATAATAGCTCGGATGATGTAATGCCCTTGACATGGAATGTGACTGATGAGATCATCCATCCACTGCAGAAAGCTGCCAAGGACCTGCACCATCCAGCAGGGTCAATGGAGGGGAGAAAGTCACCTCTCATTGTGCCTGTGTACTGTCACCAATGGTACAATATGTCCGGATATCTACTTTTTTTCTGGTATATACATTGATCGAATAATGCCTATGAGGTTGCAATACAGTTTGAATCCTGATACATGGAGGCGATGGCATACAGTGATACACACACTTGTAGTACATGAACCAGTCCCAGGCTCGACAACAGATCCATGCTAGGCAAATCCCACACTAACGGCTTACAACAGAAAATTTGTGGTGGTGAACAAGCATGTTATTTGTGTATAACTTCATCATGCTTGGTTCAGTTTGGCAAGCCTGGAATCGGATCATACCATATCATTACCAACACAATGCTATCAATATCAGCATTGGGCCACATCATGTCTGTCACTGTATTGCACTGCCCTCCAGTATCTGGACACAATGTGTATGGAGGAACCATTACACCCTCTGAATATCATAGAAACCACAGGGAAGTGAGAACAAGGTTGACATCGTCTATTGCTATTAAGTCAATCAAACTGGAATGTTTAGAAGTCAGATTACATCCTGGAACACTAACTGACAATGAGACTCCTATGACTAAGTGACCCTGAGTGGTGTCCTGTTCCACTGAACCACTACCTGGTATGTAGACCTGTATACAACAACAACAGCATCACACAGTTGCAGACTGTAGTGACAAAGCAGGATGGAATGGCAAGGGAAGTAATTTAGGTGTATATCCTCTTCTCGTCAGTCATGATAGATGACAAAGGTTGTGGTGTAGAGGTCGCTTGTCTCCGGCTTGCCATTGTTGAAGCTCTTGCCCCATGCGGTACATGTGATGTTGACGAAGACATCATCAAACAATGTGTTGAATTTGACCATGACAATGGGAGCCAGGAACTTGTTCGTGGTTCGGGGACGGTACCAAGAAACTGGGAAACCATTTCTAGGAAAGTATTGGATTGGTGAAGGGAAGACAGTGTCTTTGCCAATTTTCTTCCGGTCTTTATCAGTCTGAAACAGCAAACATAGCACCATGGCTGCTAAAATGTTAGCAAAAGCAGTAAGAACTATTCAGGATGTTTGTTGGTTTGTAAAAGAATATATTTTTATTATCCATATCTCTTAATCCTACTGTTCCAATGAAATATGTGGGTTAATTGTTATGCAGCTCTGTGTATCAAGTAATGCCAGGAATGGTACTACATGAGTGAGTGAGTGAGTATGGTTTTACGCTGTTTTTAGCCATATTCCAGCAATATCATGGTGGGAGACACCAGAAATCGGCTTCACACATTGTACCCATATCAGGAATCGAACACGGGTCTTTGGCGTGACAAGCGAACGCTTTAACCAATAGGCTACCCAACCGCCCCCGGAACTAATTCCAATCATGACCACAGAACCATGACGTGCATTAACCAAGTCAGCTAGTCTGACCACCCGATCCCATTAGTCACCTCTTACTACAAGCATAGTTGCTTTTTACGGCAAGCATGGTTTGCTGAAGACCTATTGTAACACCGATCTTCACGGGTCACATCCTGCAGGTCTAGTGTTGAACAGGTCTCAATCACCTACACCCTCGGAGGAGAAAGAGGCATGCTTCAGGCTCTGTGGTACAGGATCCAAGTCAAGAATGAAATCGCAATGTGTTGTTGCAGGATAAGAAATAATCTAGGTGAAAGTGCCATTTATCACAGCAGTGTATATTCATGTTTGCAACACTATCTAGAAAACTGAACCTGTACATTGTCCATTTCGTAACCAACAGATTGATGAGAATCATCAGTGAGTGAGTGAGTGAGTGAGTGAGTGAGTGAGTGAGTGAGTGTTGTCAGGAGTGTGCTGGGAGACCAGTACTTACAGCCCCATCACAGGTGACGCCGATGTAGTCATGGGAGTAGCGATATCCAAGCTTCTTACTTTCAGCAGTATTATTTGCAAAAGCTTTAGCAGTGACATTTCTTGGCTGAAACAAAGACAGCCCATTAACATTGTAGTTCAAGTAACAATGGTTGACGTATCTTTCCGATGTGATCAACTCATAAAAAATGAAACAAGAAACCATTGTCAAAATAACCTAAACCCTTCAAGTTGTATCTGGCCGAGGACAAACCTGTGGCTTACACAACCAGAAACCATCCACATACTCCTCACCACAATATGCACTAGCAATGGACTGGGGGACACCTCAACTTCCTGGAATATCCACAAGGAGCAACATCAATTCTTACAGGCGGAAACACTTCCCAGAATTGATCAATTAGAATGAAGATGGAGTCCATCTACACCAAGTGATGTGTTACACATTAGTGAGTGAGTGAGTTGTGTTTAACGCTGCTTTTAACAGTATTACAGTTATATTGTGGCATGTCAGTTTAATGTGGGAGGAAAGCCCAAAGTGATGCAGGTCTCAGACGTTTACCACTTCGATGAAACCCACGTGCACGGGTATGGTGCTGACAAACCTAGAAACATAATCGGGGCGAAACGGGATTCAAACCCACAATCATAGGTTTCTGGCATGCCCAAGGGACACAACTCTGCATCGTGAATCGCAGCGCCTTAGATGACTGGGCCACCCGTGCCCCCTGTTACACATTAAGCTTACTCTACCATGTTCAAATCACAATAACAACCTCAGATGAAGACAGTTGATTCTACATCAATGGCATCACAATATCATAGAATATTAGTATCATGACACAGGTGTACTATTTAACCCATCTCACTAAGATTACTCCAATGTTTCCGTATGGGGGGTGACTGGGTTGAACACGGGTTTGAACAGAATTTCAGTTATAACAATAACAAGGCATGTTAGTTAGATGTGTGAGGACAGCCAATTTGCCACATTAGTTAAACCCACAAACACAGGTATGGTGATAATACCAGGAATCATTAGGGTAGAAGAATAACTCCGGGGAACTGCTGCCTGTTTCTCTCACCAGGTTGAGCTGCAACATCACACATGGGGTTCCAGAGGAGTAGCCGTAGTGGTGAAAATGGTCACAGTTCCCCAAAGCACTTATGTCAAACACACACACTTTGTCTGGTGGAGCATAAGAGTCATTGCACTTGACATGGTCGTCCCCTTGCTGGTTCATCATTTGGTAATCTGAAACACAACACATGCCAGCTCAGTTCACTGAGTAGTCTAGGCCTAGCACTTCCAGGAAACCAAGGGCTGTAAAACCATCAATTTACACTTGTGTCCACACAATGTCAGGTGATGATTCAGTTTTCATATACTACACACCATTCTTTCTATACGATGCTTCAAACATACACAAGGCTCTGTAGCTCACCTGATCATTTTGATTTCAGCATCTTCTACACTGATCAGCATGGTACAAAACGTACAAGGGGAAAGATGGGAGAAAAGTCAGCAGAAGTCTCCACTTGTTGTAGGTGTAGGTAATGTTGGGGGACATGAGAAACTTTTTTACATTTCTTTTAACATTTTTGAAGTGATAGTCAGTGGCATCAGATAATTAAACTGCAAGTGCAAAAACATGAAGAGCTCTCAAAGCTTGATTTGAACAGCTATCGACAGCAGCAAGTCAAGCTATCCAGAATTGGCTTTGTACTGGTTATCAGTCTTGATCGTGTGAGAAGTTTCGGGAAGGCTGGTGGCACCTACTGGGGTATCTAAGGGTGACAAGAGGGCAATTCAAGGTCTTTTTCAACCAAATTTGTGTTTTATTTACTAAGCAAGTGCATTTGGATACCTGTTTGGAAACACCTAATTCCTGCCCAGCTTTAAAAGATATTCTGTATTGAAGACCAGAGACAGGCCTTTATGAAGACATCCAACAGTGACACTATTCTGGACATTTGTGAGTGCACACACTAACATTAATTCCAGGGCTGGCTACATATTTGACCCGTTCTACCAACCTTTGCTGTGCTTAAATATAATTCATTGATTATTCATTGATTTTGAGTGAGCTTTTACTTATTTCACAAATTAGTTTCTGGGTTAACCTCTGCATTTAAATCTGGAGTGAGTGAGTTGGGTTTAACTCCACTTTGAAGATTATTCCACTTCCATTATCACAACATGTCAGCTTTATGTGGGAGGAAAGCCTAAAGTGGTGCAGGTCCCTGACTTCAATTGAACACATATCCTCAAAGCACATTCATCAAATTACACAATGATACATGTATGACTGGCTACATAAACACTGTTGGTAGCAAAAGACATTGGGCAGTGAGTGGGTGAGTGAGTATGTTTTTACGCAGCTTTTAGCAATATTCCAGCAATATTGCGACACCAGAAATGGGCTTCACACATTGTTCCAATGAAGGGAATCGAACCTGGGTCTTCGGCGTGACGAGGGAACACTTTAACCACTAGGCTACCCCATCGCCCCATATGTAGGGGAGGCAAAACTGGTGAGGAATATTTACCATACAAGTGGCTTTCCAAGTTGTTGAGATACACTCCATACCCGCCAGTATTGTGTCCTTCATTCACACAGAAAGAGATGAGAGCAGTCTTGTCCTCGGGAGCAGGGAAAACCTGGAGACCTGCAGAAACCAAACACCATCAGTACATTAACACCGCACACACCATCAGAACATTAACACTGCACACACCATCAGTACATTAACACTGCACACACCATCAGAACATTAACACTGCACACACCATCAGTACATTAACACTGCACACACCATCAGTACATTAACACTGCACACACCATCAGTACATTAACACTGCACTCACCATCAGTACATTAACACTGCACACACCATCAGTACATTAACACTGAACTCACCATCAGTACATTAACACTGCACACACCATCAGTACATTAACACTGCACTCACCATCAGTACATTAACACTGCACACACCATCAGTACATTAACACTGCACACACCATCAGTACATTAACACTGCACACACCATCAGTACATTAACACTGCACACACCATCAGTACATTAACACTGCACACACCATCAGTACATTAACACTGCACTCACCATCAGTACATTAACACTGCACACACCATCAGTACATTAACATTGCACACACCATCAGTACATTAACACTGCACACACCATCAGTACATTAACACTGCACACACCATCAGTACATTAACACTGCACTCACCATCAGTACATTAACACTGCACACACCATCAGTACATTAACACTGCACACACCATCAGTACATTAACACCGCACACACCATCAGTACATTAACACTGCACACAGCATCAGTACATTAACACTGCACACACCATCAGTACATTAACACCGCACACACCATCAGTACATTAACACTGCACACACCATCAGTACATTAACACTGCACACACCATCAGTACATTAACACTGCACACACCATCAGTACATTAACACTGCACACACCATCAGTACATTGACACCGCACACACCATCAGTACATTAACACTGCACATACCATCAGTACATTAACACTGCACACACCATCAGTACATTAACACTGCACACACCATCAGTACATTAACACTGCACACACAATCAGTACATTAACACTGCACACACCATCAGTACATTAACACTGCACACACCATCAGTACATTAACACTGCACACACAATCAGTACATTAACACTGCACACACCATCAGTACATTAACACTGCACACACCATCAGTACATTAACACTGAACTCACCATCAGTACATTAACACTGCACACACCATCAGTACATTAACACCGCACACACCATCAGTACATTCACACTGCACGTAAGACTCGCCACGCATTTTCCTGCAGTACGTTTAAATAATATTCAAAATTTAGGGAATCATTTTTGATGATACTATCATGATATAACATTGATACTTAGTTATCCTATAATAATTAGATCTACATCAAGTGCTTTCTGAGTAATTATTGTGTAATATTTATACACCATTTTATATAATTATAGTTTAGCAAGTAATACTTATCATCAGGTAAAATGCATATATAAAATATCAGTAATTTCAGTTATATCTTTTTAGATAGATGCTAGCCTAAGGTAACGAGAACACATCTCCTAGACATACTAATTTACTATTCAATAAGACAAAAGTTATGTCTACATAGTTAAATTGATTTAAAGCTTTTAAATAAATACTAGCTTAGGGTATCAAGATCCCATCTCCCAGACATAATATCCAATAAGACTAAAGATATGTCTACATAGTCTTATAGGTTGCCTTGAACTATTTTATTTAAGAAAATCTGTCATCAACTATATTAGTATAACAATAAGCAATTACTTCAATTTAGACTCATTAAGGATTAGCCCCCATACAAGCTCGTCAATAGTGACACCATCTGTCATCAACTATATTAGAATAACATTCAGCAATTACTTCAATTTAGACTCATTAAGGATTAGCCCCCATACAAGCTCGTCTATAGTGACACCATAATCTCTTTCAAAGCACCCAGTAAATATGTCAACAACAAGATTAGTGCCAGTCAAACAGGATTAACTATTCCCCTCTGTCTAGCCATTCATTAATCATAAGGCACACCCCATCATGTATCAACCAATCATATTCCTTTTTATTGTTCTAAGTTTTGTTAAATGCACACAGAAGCCAAATGTTAAGCAGAAGGGGTTTGACGCTTATACCAAGCAGATCTCTCTCCCACAGCTCAGAGGGTTGTACCAACTCTCTGTGGCACCCTCAGCTATATTCAAAGATATTGTAAATTGAAAATTGTTCATTGTTAATTGTTCTTGTAAATACAATTGTAATTAGTCTCCTGTGACTCCGGCTCTTTGCTGACTAGTCCAACACTGTAGATTTATGTGATTTACATTTTCATGGACTAGATGTTTTAGGTATGAGGGATTTTTTAAACTTTGTGAAAACCAAATGTACCTAAGTCCAAGTTCACCAACCGTTTTGTTTGATATATGTAATCCATGTTTGCAAAAAAAACAGATGCTCAAGATCCTTTTGGAAGAATTTCTTTAACTTATGATAATTTAGCGCCATGTTGTTAAAACGCAAAACACCTTAAGAAAACTTATAACGTCACATTAACGCTGCGCTTTGAATTTCGGACCAACAGTCGGTCACTCGCACTGCCGGGGTCCCGTCTGTGCAATCAAACTGGTTCGGTTTCCTTGATCTATAAGCTGAATTTATATCATGTCTGTACCATTTTGGAAGAGGTGTTTGCCAAAGACATTCCTGTTAACTGTACCACTCTATACTGAAGATGTGAAAATCAACTCAAGTCTGCTTACATGTCAGTGACAGCTTCGAGCGATCGAAGGGCAAGGTCACCACCAGACAACTGTGATCTATTCGCAGAGTTTTACGCTAGAGATAGGGAATGTTATTGTTCACATTTTGGGACACATAATCAGAAGTCAGGCACACTTCTACAGAGTTTTTGAACGATTTGTATTGGAAATGTTCACTTTGAGTGATCTGGTTCGTGCAGTCGTGAACCAACAACTCCCGAAACCGTGCCATAAAATACGCTTCAAAGGGGACACTGACGGCACAACCGGATCATCCCAAGTAAGTCTTGGGTGGGTGATTTAACTGTACAGCCCAGACTTAGCCCCCAGTGACTATTTCTTGTTCCTACGTGGAAGACGCCTCCAGGATGACGAGGACATAAAAGCTGTGGTCACAGGGCAATCTGCGGATTTCTAGAAAAGTGGTATTAATAGCTTGAAGGACAAATGGAATAAGTGTTTTGAGGTGAATGGAGATTATATTGAAAAATAAAAGTGCAAAAGATATTCTGCTACTTGGTCTTATATTGAAGTTGCAAAACTTATTGAACGTATGAACTTACTTCATTTCACAGCGCTTATCCTTTTACGTTAATTCAAATTGAAAGCTGCGAAAGTGGTCGAGTGTGTCACTCTCACTCGGGGGGTCACTCTCACTGATCGGTAGACGTACATTGTAAATGGATATCTAGCTCGATAATATAATGTATGTAGCATCTCTATGCATAAACTCATATAGAATGCAAAAAGAATTTGATGCTTGTGACCAGGTGACTATCTTGTTTGGTTTAATAAAGTGTTTGTAAATTTCTCTCGTTCTCATGAGATTGCAACAGTTCTGCCTTGTAGTTGCAAATGAATGACTTCTTGCGATATTTAATGAATGAAAAAAGTAGTCCTGGTGTGACAGGTCACGGTTATCCAATCAAAATGAATAAAACAAGGTCAACCTTGTACGACACACAAGTGTGACGTACAGATTTAGTATCTCACCACCTGTATCTTCACCACGTACGTGGATAATAATGGACTATAATTAATATTGTTGTAACAACTAGACAACTGATCGGTGTAATTGTTCTCAGTAATTAAAAATATGCTATCAAATACACACAGAATAAAAAGACATGACAGTGATAATGTAAATGAAGCACATATACATACTACTACATAACATAATAAAGCATATATATAGGCCTACTACATAACCCGCTCTAATCGTTATTAAAAATAGAGGTGTCGTTTTCTCCCGACAATTAACAGCCGTTTTCGCCAAAAAAATCGTGTTGCTGAGGTAGGGTTTTAACCTGCACCACACCTAAACACCCAACCAACACTGGATGTTCAGGTGCTGTGACATAGATCTACATGACTAAAATCAACGAAAAACGTTTGGTGAAGCAGAAACCGGAAACTTAAATTCACTCAGGGTACTCATCTAGGCCTACACCACTGACACACTGTTCACAGATCCTCTCTTAAAATTCGGACACTCGATCGACAGAACTTTCCCTACCTTCCACGGACTTGTTCTGCCATTTCTGAAGATTGGTAGGGCGAGGGCGAGGGTGGCCACACATGGCTTGAATCATTGTTTCCTTGTGTTTCTTCTGAACAGCTACGGCGATAATGACGAGAACGACCAGCAGAACTATGCCACCTGCAACCGCGGCGATCAGGTACTTCCTGCGGGTGTGCTTCTTTCTGGTAAAAGTACCACCGCCGGGCTTGTGGTGACCCTCGTACCTTATCCCCCACTCATCGACGAGTCCATCTTCGTCGTCGCGAAGGGCTGTACCCCTACTAACTCGTCCATATCCTGTGGAAGCCATGATTGAAACCACCTTTATTTCCTTAGTAAATGTGACACTGGCGCCCCCATGCGGCAAGTACACCTGTTTGCGTCATTGACAGGTGAGAATGACGGGGCGTTGGTCAGATTTTACCCCCGCTTCAACAACTACTCCCTGAAGTTTACCCTCTGGATGCCGAGGTTTTTTTCTGACGCACATTTTCCTAAGATCGGAAAAGTGAAGGTTGTGCGAGAATTGCGCTCACGCGGCACTGGATCTAGCCCTGGCTATAAAATTACGCAGAGGTGGAGAATATTAAATTTCCTATTTGATGGTGTAAATTTAACTGCAAGTATTAAACCGCTTTTAAAAAAGAGACACTTCTAAGTGTATTCTGCGTTGAAAAACAGTAAATTTCTCCGCTTTTTATCGTTCACCTATTAAATTACTGTGCGACGATTTTTTTTATTAAGAAGCTTTACGGAATCTGTGAGCGAACAAAATACTGCCTAATATCTGAACGACATAACTATATATCAAATGGAGTTATTTGCGTATGTATAACGACATACATTCAATGCCAAAAATAGCATGCCGTAAATGACGAAAACTGATTTTTTTCTATGACGTCAAAAGGCGACAGAGAGGTTACACGCGTACAAAGAAAAGGGGGCATAACTCCGCTATGCTAAGCACTAGTTTTATTGTAACTCAGGTCACTTGATGAGAATTAGCTGTGGGTAAGGACAATATATTTTCGTGGTGTTTTGTTCAGGAGGAACCAAACTATTCCAACACAAATATCGATATTGAAACTGTATACGTTTAGTTATGAAATATACCCATAAGAAATGATAAAATCGTACTTCATAAACGCTTTTTCGACACAACATAAAATGACTGCTTTCACCAAGTAAATACTGTCTTGAATATGTAAACAATTAGATAGTTTATCGTGTATCTTAATTGGACAAGACACGCGACTGTATGGCATCAATTTACGTAATGGAAGGAATATTTCAAAACAACCAAAATTGTATTCATTGGACATATATTTGTTCATTATTATGTTATTATTTCTTACACAATAAAAGATGCGAAGAATGCTCTATTGGTATAGAATTATCAGGACAATTGTATACGTTTGAACCAACGGGGTAGCTGGCATAGGTTTTATTTTTATACTTTTTACAATTCCTGGAGAAAGTAAAGTAAACAGTTTACTATTCTGTGATCACAATGTTGAAAAAAGAATGAACCCATTGATTATATAATGCAAAACGAGAGGAATAATTTGTAAATAGTTTGTGACTAACGCGCACCTGGCGAATCGATAGATATCACTGTTCTGTGTATCAAACGACATAAACAATTCCAAGACAATTCTTTCAGAAATGTGTACATGTATTATACGAAAAATATTATCCATTTTGTTGAAGTAATATATTTAGTTTTAGTTATGAAATAACATGAAACGGCTATTCATGGACATTGGTTATATGAACTTATAATATTGACTATTACACATCCCAAGAAATACGTAAATGCTGCAGTTACATTTACACTTCATCTTGTAACACTTGTCCAAAGGAAAGAAATATCGTAGTCGACACTATAAACCTATCAATTGTTAAGTAAACAATGTTCAAACAAACAGGAGATTATCAAAGATTCGTTCATACATGTTGTGGCCTATATTTACGTATGATATCATTTTGAACATAGACAAATATCCAAAGTGAAATTAATTGTGTGAAAAAATGTATAAAAGATATGCATAATATGCATCATGACTGAAACTGTAAACAGCATGATACAATGATCGTGTGCACTCTCATTCAAGGACCTTCACCTCAAAGAAATTACCAAATATGTACAACAATGTTGACGGATGACATCACTACCTGTGACCGACTTTTACAAAATGGCGTGTTCACTGTGAACAGTACGCGTGATTTTACGAGGGGACTTTGGTTGACTCAAGGATCGTATATATATAAATGTGACATGTAAGTAATCAGAAACATTCTGACAATCTATGTTCTGTTATTTGTTGTTATAATTTTCACTGAAACAAACGGAAATAGTCAGAAATTCCGATAAATACCGTTGTCGTTGTGCGTGATTTTGCGTCAGTCATGGCGTCACACAGGACGGTAACTTTGACAATTTCTGTTGAAAATATCACATCATTGCAATGTATCTATTTTAAATTCCCCAATTCTTCCTACGATTCTCTTCCCATGCATATTCTGAAAAGGTAGAGCCAATATCTTGAACGAATAGACGAATGGATAGCTCAAAATAGGAGAAAATGCTACACTGTGTAAAATCTGTATTTTGCTTTGTTTACATTTCAAACAAGTGCATTTTTTCGAGCACAGCGTTCGTTTGCACACCCAACTTATTTTGCTTGATTTCATCCAGCCACTTTGTATTGGTGACAAAGATCATTGGTCATTTGATTGTAAAATGTATGAGGAATTCAAGGATGTATGTATCGCAGATAAGTTTGAAATATACGTGATGTTACAGGCGTCTCATATAACCTGAAACGTGATTTTGTAAATACGATATCCAATATGGTGGAAAGCTCCGACGTTCATACAGTTTGGCCCTCACTCTATGAAGGTTCATACTCCAATGAACTCCAAAGTGAAGATCAATTCTTAAATATTATAAGTTCATATAACCAATGTCCACGAATAGCCGTTTCATTTTATTTTATAACTAAAACTGAATATATTACTTTAACAAAATGAATAATATTTTTCGGTAAAATATATGCACACAGTTCTGAAAGATTTGTCTTGGTCTTGGAATTGTTTTTTATGTCGTTTGATACACAGAACAGGGATATCTAACGATTCGCCAGGTGCGCGTTAGTCACAACCAATTTACAAATTATTCCTCTCGTTTTGCATTATATAATCAATGGGTTCATTCTTTTTTCAATATTGTGATCACAGGATAGTAAACTGTTTACTTTACTTTCTCCAGGAATTGTAAAAAGTATATAAATAAAACCTATGCCAGGTACCCCGTTGGTTCAAACGTATACGATTGTCCTGATAATTCTATACCAATAGAGCATTCTTCGCATCTTTTATTGTGTAAGAAATAATAACATAATAATGAACAAATATATGTCCAATACTGAATATAATTTTGGTTGTTTTGAAATATTCCTTTGGGTATTTCATGACGTAAATTGATGCCAGACAGGTGCGTGTCTTGTCCAATTAAGATACACGATAAACTATCTAATTGTTTACATATTCAAGACATTATTTACTTGGTGAAAGCAGTCATTTTATGTTGTGTCGAAAAAGCGTCAAATTCCGTTTCACACATCGAAATTTTCCATACCATGAACGAAAACTAGGGGAGATATATATATATTAATCAAAATACCAGTGTCGTCTTTCTCCGACGTTATGAAAGACATAAAACCAGCCATGACGTCAAAAGGAATGGTGTTATTTTTGGGGTATTTCATTACATTTGATGAAAAGGCTAGTGCTCCATTAATAATGATGCAACATTAGTCAAATTACACTTACACAATCAGGAGAATGTTGGAATCTAAGGACTAATTAAGTTATATGTTAGATAAGGCCATCCATTTCTCTATTACCTCCTTTTTATGAAGTACGATTTTATCATTTCTTATGGGTATATTTTATAACTAAACGTATAGTTTCAATATCGATATTTGTGTTGGAATAGTTTGGTTCCTCCTGAACAAAACACCACGAAAATATATTGTCCTTACCCACAGCTAATTCTCATCAAGTGACCTGAGTTACAATAAACTAGTGCTAAGCATAGCGGAGTTGCACCAGGAAACCATATACTACCATTACTACCTATTAAATGAAGGACACTGGACGCCCCATGCCACTCCAAAGTGGGAAGGCCATCGTGACATTTCATTTACGTCAACATCGTCATGGTACCTTCTGAGTATCATTACCATGCTGTCACTCCTGCTGTTCATTACAGGGTTGGGTGGACAGCAGCAGAGAGGCCTGGTAGTATACCAGGGACATTCAGCAAAGAGGTAGAGGTCTTGGAAAAAAATAGGGCAATCTAGGACGATGGACACTGTGGAAAACACCATGGAAAACATGCATTACTCACCACATTGCAACAGCACCAACAGCAGCAGCTCGCAAAGAGGCATCAACCACAAAGTCATTCGACCTGCTATCTCTTATATAACCAAGAGCAAGCAGGGTCCTACTGTTCCTTTGTTTTGAAAGAAGGGGTAATTTGTCAGCAAGCCATCTTACATTGTTAGACTTGTGCTACCAAATCTGTAGTCAACCTATGTGTTTGGACTTGAATCTAAACGCGAAACCACGACACCATGATGTGCCTGATACTGATAGGGTGTCGCTAACCATCAAAGCAGAAGCCAACAAGCTATATGCGGATATTCCTCCACCCTAATTCGAAATTTCCGTTATTTGTCTCGTTATTTCAATTATATTTGTTTTTCCTCTCCAAGTCTCTTGTTTTATCTCGTAATTTCAATTATTTTCTCGTTATTTCAAGTCTTATATGAGAAGTAATAAACTTAGAAATGTCACCCAAAGGGTACCCCAAAACACTGATAACTAAATCGAATGAGTGTGCCCAAAAATAAGCCAAAATGATGTTGCCATGAAAGACCAAAAGGAAACAATGTTTTATCAGATGGGTACCAAAACACATCCTCTCACACAAAAATACATTTACACATGAACACACTTGCAGACCAAAACTTCGACACACATACGCCCAATCACACCTGCGAAACACATCCTCTGACACACACACACACCTTTACACAATCACACGTGTAAAATACATCCTCTCACATATACAGCCAATTACACAATCACATGCAAAACACATCATCTCTCGCCCAAACCCACACCCAACCATACATACAAAATCTTGTTACACACACCCAATCACACATGTAAAATGTATACTCACATACACACATACTCTCAAGGGGTGGTCGGGTAGCAGAGTGGTTAAAGCGTTCGCTCGTCACGTCGAAGACCCGGGTTCGATTCCCGACATGCGTGAAGTCC